TGTCATGCGATAATCAAGAACACAATCATGTTCGGGAATACGACGATGGAAGTTTTTAACGACCTTGACCGGCTGCGTGAGTACTGATCAGTCCATTCAGCTTTATAGTACGCTTGTACGACTTTGCCCCCAGCAGAGCTATAGAAAAACAGTACATTAACGGGTGTTACACGGACACTTTTTAGATGATACACGGACACTTTTTAGTTGTTACACGGACACTTTTTATGAATAGAATCACTCGTGCATGATCAGTGAGTTCATGGGCACTTTAAATTTCAATTAGATTTGAACTTTTTGTTTCACCGACATATTTCCTGTCTTTTTAATTAAAATATTTACGTTAGCATCAATAACTATATTTTTCTTCAAACAATTCCAGTAACTATTCATATTAGTACACTAAGGGATTGACCATTTAACTTCAAAAGGTGGGTTATGGTTTTTTCCAAAAAAAAACATTTTGATCCCCAATTTTATGAGAAAAAATATATAATATATTATATAGTTGAAAAACTAAATAATTTTCTTACTCAGAAAAGAACACAACCCCTTTTGAAGCTAAATGGTCAGTCCGTAATTTTTTTTTCCAATATATGGACATGAATAGTATTCTGGACAATGCTGAAAGAAATACTGGTACTAACGTTTATATTTCAATAAATAAGACAGGAAATATATATAAAAGAAATCAAATCTAATCAAAAGATAAAATCCCCATCAACTCACCAATGCACGATTGATCCTATAAATAAAAAGTGTCCGTGTAATACACGTTCAAATAGGCAGCAAATCTTGAAGAAATACATTCAACTTATGTCATCAATTTTGGACGGTAAGCTCTGATTGGATCATATAATGACACGTGTTTAATCCTGATCAACACTATCAGAGACATATAAAAACCTATAAGGATGAACTTTTTTTTTAATCAATATATGCCTATATATATCTAATAACAAGACAAAATCCATTTTTTCATAACATTTCATTCACTAATAAGATAGGAAATTCATTCTTTTGATACACTTATATTGTTATTGAATTCATATATTTGGCGGCGTACGATTTTTACGATTTTTTTAGGGGGAATGAGGGGGGGGGGGCTGGAATGGCACAGCCTGCAATCTTTCAACAAAAAAAGGATGAAGCCTGTTTATTTTAAATTTATTTTAACTCCCCCTTTTCCCCCAATAAAAATCAAATGGTAGCTTGCTTACCTCTGAAATCTTTTTTTATACATTACTTACTTGCGAAGTTGCATTTCAAAAAGTCTCAAATGTGTATAACATTCACCTTTAACTTGAAATGGTTCTTTTTATAAAGTTATTAGATTCTTGAATTTTTTTGAGAAAAAACTCTCGGCTGAAGGGAAGTGAGAAAAAAAAATTGAGTTTAAACTGTAACTTACATTAACTGGTATATGGCCATTTAAGTTTCTAATATCTTTAGTTTTGCTACCTCTTCTAAATGCAAAATGTACTTCTTCCTTCTTGAAACGTCGTACAAGTCAGATACAAAACAAAGGTAACAAAAAACAGGTCGGAAACAACCTGCCGTATAGTTTGTCTGCACTTGTAGTCAGGTCAAGGTCCTCGGCTATCGCCTCGGACCTTGACCTGACTACTCGTGCAGAAAAACAATCCGGCAACGGTTGTTACCGGCCTGTTTCTTTGTTACCTTTGTATTGTATCTAATACGTGTTCTTTTTTCGCAGGTGTGAGGTCGAAGGTTTGAATTGACCAATGAAAACGATCGTTCCTTAACGAGTTAATCTAATAAAGTTTGTTTGACTGATTATGTTGCACGACCTTTCGCTAAGCTTGACCGCAGTTCAGTGTAATTTTCCTTCACAAGGTTTCATGGTTCACTCTTTTTTGTGTACAAAGTAATTGCATGGAAGATAAATGATTACAATTTTCAGATGGCGTTGTACTCTAATCAAGGTATAAAAAAAAAACATATGTGTTACTCTTTATTTAAATGAAAGAAACTTTTAATCGTCAAAAACATTTTTAGATCCAAAGATTAAATAGTAGGATGTTTGAAAAACAATTTGAAAACTAGTTACACACTATTTAGTTTAATTTGTAACACAGCATTTATTTCAAAATAGCCAGTAGCAATTTTTGTTTTAATATCTTGATTACGATACAATGAAATCTTACCCTTGTAGTCATTCATGCGTAGTTACTTAGTACATGGAAAAAGTATGTACTATGAAAATTAGAAGGCAAATATAAGCAATTTGATTGGACGAGAAGTTGTAAATATGTGCTAATCAACGCTGAAATTGACTCACCAAATTATATTCAATTGTTTCCTTTGTGTGCCTAATTTCATTAAGTTTGAGTTGGCTAATTTACTGATTTCTGTTCACTAATGGAATTAATTTAAAAACTTACCTTAAATATTTGTAATTTTTATATGCCTTCACTGGGAATCGAACCCTTCCTTGAAATCTGTTATGTGTGACTGACATCAACACATCGACGAAACCTCTCGGCTACCAATGGGTTACACTATAGATGTCTATTTTATACATTTAAATGAACATCTGATATACATCGGTTCATCGGACACACAGGGCTTGTACCTTTATATGGACACAATAGGCAATCGTATAGTATGAGTTGGTAGCCGCAAGGTTAGCATGGTTAAATTCAATGAGTTAAAGATAGGGATTTGTCGGTTTAGGTTCGAATCCCTGTATTCTCTCTGTTGTTCCAATTCTTAAGTTATTCGGGTTTTATTCTAATTTTGCATGTTATAGTGGATATTTTTGTTAGCGAGTTTTACCGTTTTTTTTTTTATTATTATTGGCTATTTCACATGTTTGAAACAAAAATGATTACATTCTATTTGTCAATTTTTGTTTTATAAATATAGTATGATATCATCTGTTTTACTACATAATTTTACAAAGGTTTGTTCGCAAATTCCTATGCGAGAAAATCGTGATGTGCCTAGAGTGCTAGAAAAATTTCGATAACATACTTATTATATATACTTTATATATGTTTTTTTGGTTCGGGTTGTTGTCTCTTTGACACGTTCCACATTTCCATTTTCAATTTTATTAGAAATAATTTCGAATATGTCTTATTTTGTATAAACAGATAATATTCATTTGCCTGGTAATATAAAGATCTTTAAAAGTAGAAGTGTTGTATTGGTATTTTGTTAACCAATTAATTGTGATCTGAGATTTATCAATGCATCGTTGGACACGATAACATGGTTATTTAAACTCACTTACAATACCTCCTAATTAATAAAAGGCTTTAATTTGAAATGAAATTAACACAATAGTTTAAGTTATAGATACAATGGATAAGCGTAGATTCATGAAAAACAAACCATTCGCCCTCCGGGCTCATGGTTTCTTTTTCAAGAATCCACGCTTATCCATTGTATCTATATAACAGACAAAAAATTGGTTGGAAGAAATCGATGTGTACGTGACATTTTTTCTTTATGCTTTTATAACTTAATTAAGTTAAACAAAAATGCAAATACGGCTTTAAACTCTGACTATTTACATATGTATATGTACATTTATATATGCAGATACTCTTATTTCGGTGCTTCACGTTTATAATCTTTAGTTAATGTTAGTTGTGTGTGTGTTTCGTACCGATCTTTTTGATTAATCCAATTGCAACTGACTTTTACACGTTGTTTTTATGTTGTACTGTTACACCACTGTCTAAGTTTAGGGGTGGGTTTAGCGCTCACAAACATGTTGAATCCTGCCACATTCTCATGAGCCTGTAGTTCAGTGGTTATTGTTTGTTCATATCTGTCGACTCATATTTAATTTTTTTTAGAATGGGTTTGTTGTATATCGTAAGGCCGTTAGTTTATTTCGTTTTAATTGTTTCACATTTATATTTCGGGGCCTTTTATAACTAATAAACAGTATGGGTATTTGTCATTTGTGAAGGATGCACGGTTGGTTATAATTGCTAACACTACTTCATTGAACTCCGGTTGATAGTTGCCTTATTGGCAATCATACCACATCTCCTTACTTGTTTTAATATTCTATACATGACTTTTAATTTCGCGTCTTGTCTAAACATGAATGAAATATTAGTCGCTGGACGTTAAAAAACAAGCAACCAACAATCAATCAATTTAAACTCGTGTTAAATAAGGAGAAAATTATTTGATTTATTGGGGGAAAAGGGGGGGGGGGGGGGCAGGAGGATTTTGAATATGAATAAGGTGGCCAGGTAAGAGCTGGAAAAAATTAGGCATGCTTAGCGACAATTTAAAAATTTAAAATGAATAAAAAATTCCGCAAAAGATCCTCCTGCCGCTTTCCCCTCCTTAGAATATCAAAAGGTTATTACTGTTATTATCCGTACGTGTGTTTTTATTATTTATCCAGCTAATTGTCCTTTTAGTGTCCTACTAAGGTTGCCATACCATAAACACGTTTATCACACAGCTCATATTTTATTATTTCTGCATTTACAAATTTATTAATGTCATTTAGACTAAGCGACGCCATGTTTGTTATGTGTCTCTGCCGTCTAAATTACCTACTAAAAAAGCAGAGGTAGAAGAGAGCCAGAAGATCTTCCCAATGCAAAAAAAACAAAACAGAAATGGACCTTTTCTGGCTGACTACCGAAGAACAAAAAAACAAGCCCCTAATTGATGTTATAATTTTATACAATATACTCAACATGCTTAAAATTGGAATAAAAAAGTATCAATTTAGATACTTCTCTTCAGAATCATTATTTTTCCTTAAATCATTTATTTCTTCCAAAGTCTAACTTTATACTTAAACTTAGTCTGAGTTGTCATTATAGATGGTCCGAGTTGTCTTTTTTGGAGACGGTCCGAGTTGTCCCCGGGCCGACTTGTCTTGCACCCAACTAAAATGCAGCTGCCCTAAGTTTGAACACCATATTCAACTTCATGACCACCATACCATACTAACCAAATGAAATGTGAACTACTTGTTTTAATTCGTAACTTTTTACCTTAAAGAATCCTGGTCCTGAGTAGATTTTGAAGTTGTCGTCAGCAAAAGATTAAAACCGTTCTCATTGCGGGCTGCCGTTGTCGTTGATTTCTATAATTTGTGCAATGTCAATTTCATCATGGAACACTTTCTCCACAATCAGGGGTTCATTGAGGGATACAAATAAGTTTGATATTTATGTTATTAATATATAATAGTTACGATTTAAAAAGCTATCAATGTATTAATTTAAGTAGCAGTATAAAAACAATATTAGGTCAATGTCATAAAGATATAAACATGCTTTGTATTCGGCACAAAACTGGGGAAGGGCTCAGTAAAAACTCGCCCTTCCCCAGTTTCTCAGCCTCATACAAACAATTTTATATTTTTCTGACATTGACCTAATATTGTATGTGTAGAAGTACTTAAAGATGACAAAAAGTTTAAGTACTGAAAAATGACTGAAATATTCAGTACTGTGAAATGACTGAAATTTACAGTACTGTAAAATGACTGAAATTTTCAGTACTGTAAAATGACTGAAATTTTCAGTACTGAAAAATGACTGAAATTGTCAGTACTGAAAATTGACTGAAGTTTTCAGTACTGAAAAATGACTGAAATTTTCAGGACTGAAAAATGACTGAAATTTTCAGGACTGAAAAATGACGGAAATTTTCAGTACTGAAAAATGACTAAAATTTCAGGTACTGAAAACAGCTTTTTCTCAACATTACTGAAAACATGCATATAATTATATGTACTGAAAAGGTATGGGTAAGAAATGTACTGATTGATGATATTTTTTACCAGTACTGTATATGTAGTGGCATTAAAAGTACACGAAAACGCTGTATAAATTCCTGGTAGTGTAGGTTCATGCATTAAGTTTTTACAGAAAAAAATACAACTAGATAATATGTAAATGGTGCTCGACAGGGGGTTTTAAACTTTCTCCAAGTAAAATAATGCAGTTATGATATTTACTAGAAGGACAAATGTGAATACAACTTATTAACTTGGCAATCATATATATTGGAAATAGTTTTAGCGGAGAAACGTGAACACACCAACTCGATTATAGCGCTATAGTCGAGTGGCACACTGATAGTAAACATGCACTGTAAAAACAAGTGTTTCAAAATAAAACACTTAAAACACAAATCAGACACAGTTTTAAAAAAAAATTTAAGCGTTTAGTTCTAAACACTTGTGTTTTATATAAAACGTTTAAAATTAAAATGTTTTTTACAGTAATCACTAATGTTTTCCATCAAAACACACATGTTTTGTCAACAACACTATGATGTTTTACCTAAAACACGTCGGCGTTTAATATAAAACACTTTTAAGTGTTTATGAAGGAGACACACTTTTAAAAGTTTATAAATGAGATATGTTTTTGTTTGAACACGTGTTTGTTTTTATGTGTACACAGCAAGTGTTTGTACATTGTATGTTTTGAAATGTGTGTTTTTAAACTGTGTTTTAGCTAAGCATTATTATTGTTCCTTTTGCTCTCCAAATGATAAGTTCTGTATCATTGACTTGTATAGAAACTATTACCACTAAAACTTGTCATTTGCAGTTTTCGATACCCAAAATATTTTAAACTTGCCAAGTTTCATGACTCGAGTATTTTGTTATTATTTACTCATAAATGTTTGAACTAAAATATACCCTACATAGTGCAACCAGTTATTTGTTTCCGAAACAAGGTACATGTTATAACAAGAGTAATCTCCTACACTTATATAAAATTTGGATAGGCATCATAAATGACTGAGAAATAAAAAAAAATCTATGAAATTTTATTCATTGCTATTATTCTTTTTAAAATCACAAATATTTTCCAAGATTGATGAATAATAATAGATGTAACATGTAAAATAATATAAAGTTTCAGTCGCTTTATCTAACATTTCTAATTGTTCTTGTCCCTTTTAAATATAAAGCTAATCTGAGTCCCTCTTCATGGTGGCTTTTTGTGTACTGATCCACTTCGTTTTCAACAACATTTCCATGTATGGATATGAAAGTAGTCGACTTCTTCCCTTTGCCTTTGAGTATCCAGTTTCAGGAAGAAATTTGTACTCTGCCTCCTGAAATATTTGTTCAATTCATTTATGTATGGCCTTTGAAAGTAATAAAGTTTATAAGACTTTTAAATTTAAAACTTAAAAGTGAATTTTTACTACCTAATATACTTGAATCTAGATGCCCCTTTTCTTGAAAATAATTGTGAGTTGATATATTGTTATTCTAAATAAAATTTATTTATACACTGCACAGTTTATTACAATACATATACAGATATATCTGTAAAGTTCATTAAAAATCAACAGATACCAAATTCATCGTGTTCAAAGCGATTTTCTGTAGAAAAAAAAACCTTAACCTTGAAAACTAATGGGCAAATATGTTAAGACTAAGTGCGCAAAAAAAGAAAGTAAACAAATCTGAGAATTACTGCACTGTTCCCTGATAATAGTGTTTAACGATAAACAGGAGAAATGTGTCAAAAGCACATATGTTTATTCTAAAACACTTGCGTTTAAAATAAAACAAATGTGAATTTCTTATAAGTGTTTGAAATGTTTTAAAAATCACACTTGTTTTTACAGTGTGTCTATTCAGAATAAAAATATGGCATATTTCAATTGGTATTCATCAGGGGGGGGGGGGGGAGGGGGTGAACACAGGGTCCTGTTCTCACGCACCTATAGCTATAAATGCATTGGTCATTCATGCTTATTTTTTTCCGCTAGCCGTCGCGAAAATTTATTTTCACTTTTGTACACAATTGTTTCGTACATTTTGTAGTTACAGAATATTCATTTTCATCCTGTCTTATGCAAGGTTATATACATACTGCAATTAAGGCATAACAAATACAATACATAAATACACAAAACTATCATAAGTATAATTAAGCATGGAAGTATTAAACAGATCTATAAAAAAAATAAGAAGATGTGGTATAATTTTCCAATATTAACCCATTTCTCTGACGTCAGTCTATAGTTCTCTAACTGTAGATTATTTTTTAAGAATCCACTGACTATTATGTAAACTTAAGATAACTTACAATATAACTTTTAACTTTTAACTTACGATCTTTTATCTTCTCAAAAACGAGTTGCATATGAATGGTTCGAACTCGCGCGTATTTTCATCGTAAATCATTACAGTCTTCAGTCTACACACGATACCACTATACCACGAGTGCTTACATAAATCAATATTTAAATTATACTCGTAAAGCGCTTAATTAATTGTCAATACATGTCAATAAACTGGATACCTGTCTCATTGATAATTAGCTTCTGTAATTTATGAAATATATATTATGTCTTGGTTTGTTCATGTTCTTTTCAAATTTTTTTGATTTGTTTTGTTTTGGGTGTAATTTTTTTAAGGAAGATTATGCTCGACATTTGAACGTTCTTGAGTATAATAATATAGCAATATCAAAATATAGAATGACACCGATACAAGAGAAAAATAAATAAAACATTTTCTTTAAAATCATTCCGGATGTCGGGTTTAAACATTGGTCGCTTTTTAACATCGTTATGATGAACTGAACCTTTATACGATTGTGGCCATTACACTATAGTTGTAGCCACTATAAAATCAAGGAATTGCTTTTTTCAGTACAAATCCTTGATAAAATAAACATCCATATGCCCATTACACTTATCACTTTTAACGTACAAGGAGGTTCAATTTTCTTTTTCATCGTAGTAAATGCTTACTTATGGTTTTAGTTTTATAATATTATAATGCTATCAATCAATTTTTCTTTGTTTGATTATAAATAGTACAAATATACATCACGTCAACATTGAACGGACTCCAATTTGAACTAATTAAGTGTGATATAAAACTACTTCTTTGACAGTAAAAAACACAAACAAAATTGTCGCCATTATATGAAAATGAAATATATAATACCTCTTAGTCTAAGATTGAAACAATATTTTGGTCGAGAAAAAAATTACGATGAAAAATTGTCATTCCGGATACTAGGTTTGAACTCCGTACTGTTAATATCCCCGTTATGACTTTCGTTACCAACGACTAAACGATCACGGGTATGAACAACATGGTTGGAATAATTTATAATCAACATAATTATATATTTGTAGCAGGAGCTAGAACACAGATAATGATCGATAATACTAGCTTATTGACCGATTGTCGATGGATGCCAAATGTAATCACGCTAAAATAATCTAAAATTAATGAAACGGAAACAGTTTAAAAGTATTTATATTTAATTGTTCAAATAAAACCTTTAGCACATAATTTTCTTTTATATGAAACATGAAACGGTAGGTTTTTGGCAGTTGCGCTAACCTTATAGATTAGCACGGCTTATTGGTAGCCAGCCCTCAAACAACTTAGTACGACAAGTTTTTTTTTTAAGAACCTTGACTATGAGGGTCTTGCACGGTCGGAAATATACTTATTACATTTTGCTAAATACTATATATTTATAACAAAGGTTCTAAATTTTGGTCATTAAAATTTTGAAAACTTTTCAAAACAAGACATAACCAATATGAAATATAAAGTTAAAAATGGGAGCTAACACCCCATTTACGTTATATTTAAGTAACTTATGTCAACTTGTCGAATGTCTAAATATAGATGTGAACCGTGTTGATATAATCATTTCCAACTATTTATGAAATTATCTTTATGAAATTCCGATGATTTGTTGTCAAAACGTAAAATAGACAGTCGTTTTACTAGAAATGGGTTTAGCTAGAGAATTTATAAGACTTGAAGTAGCGGATTTGGAAACCATAATATACTTGCGACTAACGTCGTTCGTTGATTATCGTTTACGAATCCACAACTTCTTATAAATTCTCTAATACTTATAAAACATCAACAACGAGCAAAACCCATACCAAATAGTCAGCTATAAAATGTAAAACAATTCAAAGATCTTCAAACGAGAAAACTAACGACCTGATTTATTTAAAAACAATGAACACAATACAAATATGATATACAGCAACAAACGACAACTACTGAATTACGAGGGTGGTAAAGGGTTATTTTCGTGCAACGTGTTTTGCCATTTTTATTTCACATGCAGCCGTGAAAAAGGTTCGTTATTCACCGTGTTTCGTGAAATCGGTAAAAAGATCAACGTGCAAGAAATGTTTAATTGTTCGTTCATCGTGAAATGGCAATTTTATTTCGCGTTCTTACGTGAAGATACCCCCCCCCCCCCCTTACGCCCCTCAATTACAGCTCCCGACTTTGGACAGGCACACTTTGTGGCGGGATTAAACATGTAAGCGGGGCCCAACCCTCCCCTAACCCGTGGGACAGTGGACAGTACAACATATAAAAACAAAAAAGACACTAAGTACAGATCTGAGAGTCCCCGCAGTTACTGACAGCTAGTTCAAAGCCAATAACCTCACCAATAACAGACAATAACAACAAATAAAAAATCATGTATCTAAAACTAAAGTATCAATCAGCACGCATCTAAACATGATCCAATGGATTTAGTGTAAAGACGTCATTAACAGTCAGGGAAAAAACAAAGCCAAATTTCAGGTATCGACAGATTGTAGAATTGTATACTGTACGTCCTTGCCTTAAAATAAGCCGTTACAGTTTAAAGGATCGATTAGTTAATAACTCAGTAATTTATAAAGCATGGTTAGCTAGGTATTAAAGCTTAAATCAAAAACAAATGTAAACTTAGCAATGATATAATTATTCTCTATTCTTTAAACCAGAGACATGTATATATGCCTCTGTTTAAACCCCATTAGAGACAAATATACAAGTATTGTGGACACGCCAGAAAATGTGTCTCCCTTTTAAATATTCCCGCCAAATGCACAATATCTTCAAGGTAAAAATCCGAAAACGATAGAATAGCTCTTCCTGTTACTTTCGTATTCATAAAAAAAAAATAAAGCATGAACGACTAGATTGCGGGAAATTTTATTTTTGTTATTTAGGTAGCACGGTTATGTTAATTCAGAGACAATTTTCAATGAAACACACAGCAATGTGACTTACAGAGAAACTAAATATTGTACTGTCTACTTATTCATTTTGGGTCCTAACGTGTAATCTATGAAATGCTTACTCGAGTTACTGTAGTATTTATAGTTGAAAATTGTTGTGAAATTCATTTTACCGGTATTTTAATTCCCCATATTGTTACATTCATTTTAAGGCATATATAGAAGTTAGGATCTAGTATGCTAACCAACACATAACAAGTTTAAACGCATGTATCATTCAATTGCTTATAATTTAGTGTGAGGTCCTAAAAAAATGAAGCAACAAGGTTACATTTTTGAACACCCATCAAGGATTTGCTGTGAAAGAGATTTGTTTCATACTTACCACCTAGGGATGGGAGCTTAACCCATGAATTAAAACATGTTTTTGTTCTTTACCATCCAATCAAGAGGAGTATATTGCTCTAATGCAGCCAGGGTTTAAGATAGGATTTTGAGGGTTTTAGGGGAAGCACTAATGACAGGACGGTTGCCCGGATAGTGACAGGACGATTGACCAGATGAGATATAAATAGTCATAACTTTTTTGTTATTCGGTAGATTTTTTTAATATTTGTAGACCTTAGAGATATTATACTATATTTTATGAAAATAAAACAAAATTTTTCACACTCGCCGATACATGCTATACATATATTCAACTGGTCGAAAACAAGTGTTAATATCTCTTTTGTTTTACAATATTTGTCGATGAAATTAAGGAATCTGTGAGAATAATAAATATTTAATACGCAAATATAAACTTTATAGTAAACAAAAATGTTTTTCTGTAAAAAAAGTTGACCGGACGGTATTGACATTCGCCAATGTACGCGTTGATTATATTGAACTGATCGACAAAAAGTGTTTATATTTTTTTTTTACAATATTTTTACATGAAACTAAGAAATCTATGAGATCAATAAATATATGATATGAAAATATAAACTTTGTAATAAAAAACATTGTTTTTCTTCAAAAAAAGTTGACCGGACGGAACTAACATTCGCCGATATATGCTTTAAATATATTGAACTGATCGACACAAGTGTTAATATCTCTTCTTTTTTTTTATAATATCTGTCCATGAAATAAATGAATCTGTGATATTAATAAATATATTATACGAAAATATAAACTTTATAGTAAAAACTTTGAGCCCAAGATGTTGATTTGAGTGAGTTCACCACGGCACACTTAGTTCAGAAGTACTTATGTTTAATTAGATTAATCTAATTTTGACACTTGTCGTAATCACCAATCAAGCCAAATAACATGTCATTAAAGTTTTCACACCTGAGACATCAAATACATTTAATTATAAGCCAAAGGCAAACGAAGTTTACTTGTTTCAAACTGGGGCAGATGATTGGAAATGTGACCAATATCTGTGGATAAATAATGGTACAAAATCAGTCACCATTGGTAATGATGTTCTTAAAAAACATTTTTACAAAATCCGATTACCAGGAACAAAAGACAATACAAACGATAGAAAAAGACCATCATATATAAATTGATCTCACATATTTCTTAGTTTCATGTAAAAATATTGTAAAACAAAAAAATATAAACACTTTTTGTCGATCCGTTCAATATAATCAACGTGTACATCGGTGAATGTCAATACCGTCCGGTCAACTTTTTTTTCAGAAAAACATTTTTGTTTACTATAAAGTTTATATTTTCGTATTATATATTTATTATTCTCACAGATTCCTTATTTTCATCGATAAATATTGTAAAACAAAAGAGATTTGATTTTGATTTTTGGTGTTTTAACGCCACTTTTAAGCACCGCTTTTGGGCTATTTCGTGGCGGCCAGTTTTTATTGGTGGAGAAAGCAGGAGCGCCCGGAGAAAACCACCGACCTTCGATAGGAAAACTGACAATCCTAGTCAATGAAGATTGGAGTCGAGTGCACCCGCACGATTGGGGTTCGAACTCACAACCTCAGTGTTGACTGGCTAGTGATTACAGTAGTAACTACTTAGACCACTCGGCCACCGAGGCCCCTAAAACAAAAGAGATATTAACACTTGTTGTCGACCAGTTGAATATATGTATAGCGTATATCGGCGAGTGTGAAATCCGTCCGGTCAACTTTATTTGCTCAAAAATATTCTTTTTCATTTATTTAGTTTTATTTTCATAAAATATAGTTTTATATCTCTAAGGTCTACAAATATTCAAAAAATCTACAGAATAACAAAAAAGTTATGACTATTTATATCTCATCCGGTCAATCGTCCTGTCACTATCCGGGCAATCGTCCTGTCATTAGTGCAACCCGGGTTTTAGTCACTTTTGCCTGTTAAGAAAATCAACATTTGTTAAATAGCAGCTTACTGTGATAAGATGATGGAAGGCAGTTACTGCATGGGCTTAAATACATTGTATAACATGTTTAATGTGTATTTATATTTTCTTTTTCAGCATTTCTTTAGTATATAAATTGAAATAATAAAAATGAATTGATAGTAGTTTTATATACTACAAAAAATGTATGAGACATCTAATACAACTACTATTGTTTAGAATATGTTGATATTGAAATAGCTACTTTTGGCATGAAAAATAAATTTTGCAAAACATCTTTTAAGAATGTTTGTTCGACCAGATACAACTACATGTACAAAATACGTTTAAAACTGACTAAAAGAGTAAATTTTCCTGACGTTACCTGAGGTCTGGATGTGATTTACAGAATGGAGAAATGAGTAAAAAAAAAAAGAAGAGAACAATGAATTTAAAAAAATAAAGAATAGAAAATAATGGGTGCTGATATGCAAATATATATATATATATTTATATATAGAGAGAGAGAGAGAAGGATTGACCAAATATAAAAATTTAAATAAAATTTTCTAAACAAATACTGAAATGAAGACCCCTATTATCAAGACACTTTTACAATGTAGCTTGACACCATAACTTTTAAGTCCTCCTAAACCTATATCTCAGAAGGATGTAGACAGATCATTAGTAGGTCTTTCAGTACTATGGGAAAAGGATAATTGAGTTGTCTTTCTTGAAACAAGATTCTGATATTTGGAGGTGCTCCTACTTGCAGAGTTTTATACACAGTAGGAGTGAATAAAAACAACTGTGTGTCGTAATCAAAAGTCTGGACAAACACAGACAAAACCCTTTTGATTTTACTGTTTTTGTTGTATTTAAATTTAAACTGTTTTAATGAGTTCATTACAAATTTCTTCTTCTTATAAGTTACAATTTTTGTCATGAAACTACGAAAACAAATTATGATTGTATGAAAAAGAATCGACATGCTGACTAGCCAATTCTGTTTAAAGGAATTCATTTTGAAAATCAAAAGGATCGTTTGAATAAGTGGATTACCTGTAAATAAATTATGACACCTGTTGTGACCATTAATTAAAGTGAGGTCATAAACATGTCTCCAAATAAAATTTTATATTTTTCAGAAATTTTCATTAACTTTTACAAATTTAAGTAACAAAATTGATCAGAAATACTTAAATCAATTGGGATATCGTTTTGTTAATGGCAAAAATAACAAGCGCTGGTGAAATCACTGCACATCTCTTTATTTTTATGCTGGGTTTGCTGTAAATCTATTATTTAAGGGCAGCATTTAAGAACATTTTATCCTGCAATCAGCCAAAAATTGTACACACGATATGTACACAAATAAATTTTTGCTTTATTTGTACTTGTACAAATGAAATCTCCTGTTAATCTGCTTCCATGTTGAGCAAACAGGAATGTGAATATTTCTGTTTGGATAACAGTTGATTTTGGGATTCTGTTTGTGGTCCGCGTTTAACTATGTCGATTTCTTTTAAGAATCAGAGACAACTATTTGGATTCTAACAACTAAACCTTCAAGAGCCTGGTGTAAATAATTTATGTACATTGTCAGAAATATAAAATTTATTTGTACTTGTTACGAAACAGGAGAAAAGCTTGGCGAGCCTCACTTTTTGTCCTGTTTCTAACGCTTATACAAATATATTTTATATTTTCCGACAATGTAGATGTATTGTAGATAGATGTTTGAGCACTGTTCCATCCAGAAATTGAATCCAGGACCCCTGGTACAATAAGCCACTGCTCTACCCACAGAGATAAAGGTGATGTTGGTTGGTTATACATCTATATGTATGTCAAGGGAAGCACTGCTACAACATATTACCTATGGTGTTTTTGTATTTTCAGGGTAGAAATATATTGTAAAACAGAGATATGGCTGCCCTAGATTCATTGACAAAATTTAATGGTATTTTGGATGAATGGATTACAAATGAATATCGTAACAGACTTGACAACAATGAAATCATTAACATGCTTACAAAGTAAGGAATTTGTTGCAGAAATTACCTAAATTCATTTGAGTAGATAGCAGTTAAACAGAAAAAATACAAGCTCTTTAGAGTTTTTAACTTTCTAACTTTTTTCAGCTATTAACAGAATAACTTACTATTTATCCAGGAGCTGTGAACCTTTCTGAAAAATGTTATCAGGTCATGAAGCAAAGTTTCAAGTTCATTGTATAATTTATCAACAAAAACAATTGCAGTATTTGTGGAAAAAGACAGTTTCCTTTTTATGTTGGGTAACATTTCACTGGAATAAACATTGTATTAATCCCGAAAAGATACAATTTAACTGAAACTATGAATGATATTTGAATGATATTCATACACATGTATCAAACTGTTAAGACTGTCAATGAATCACACTTATTGGATTATACTATTTATTACAGGTTATCAGATATTATTGAAAAAGAAACAGAAGAATTTTACAAGATGGACCCAGATCCTTTTGATGATAGACATCCAGGTATATTTGTTTCAATATATTGATATAGAGGTCACAAAACTATTATTGTTTAAATTAAGAAACACAGGATTTTGATATCCCAGTGATTACCTTGACTTAATTACAAATGCAAAAGAGATTCAAAACAGGATTGAAAAAAATGTTTACTTGGCTTATAAATTTTTTTTAAAAACATTTATAAAAACAATGTACAATACTAAATAAATTTAGAATATGAACAGAAATTCAGTATGACCAACAAACAAAGAAATCTTGCTTGTCTGCCTTACATTAAGATAACCTGGACCTTATGCAGTTTTCTTGATATTTTTGAATTTTTTTTTTCAATTGTAGGACGATCTAATCCAACCTGTACTCTAGGCCATTTAATGAAAGCATTATTCAAGAATGATAATTTCATGAACAAGGTATGACTGAAATGAATGTAAATATTAGTGAATTGACTATTACCAACATGAATAGCGATGTAAAAATAGTTTTAGAAATCAAGTTGAAAAATGTCAGTTTAAAATATTTTTACTGTGTTTTAAACAGTTAACACTTTCGCTCCTGAATTTATTTTTTTCGCGGGATTCTGTGGCCGAAGTTTCTTTCCTCAAGCTAATTCCCCGACTGGATTTTATTTTGCAAGGTCCTAGCAAAAAAAATCGTGATTACGGAAATCGTCGAATTCTAGCAAGTGACAGTAAATTTTTCGATCATAAGCCACATGGTGAAAGAAAAGTTTGTTCTTTATGGCGGATTTATGTCATTTTGTTGATTGACTACGATTTGAAGCCAACTTATTCTACTTTTACGGTTGAAAATTTGCGTAAGGAATTTTTTTCTACCTCGGTACCGTTTAAATGCACTTAAATTACGTTTAAACCAATTTTACTTCAAACAAGTGTCATGCAAACTGATCATAGTCTTATTACTCAAGTTCCTTATCCGTAAAATGTATTCCAATCAATGTCTTCCAGACAAAAATGCTTAAAAAAGTGTCCGTCGTTTACGAAAATATTGCGACCGCCATATTGTTTACATGGTTAAAGAAGAGAGATAACTCCAACAAATTCAGGAACATTAATCCTACTATAATAGTAAATTATAAAGCAAGAATTTGAATGTGGTAACTAACAAAATCCATGCAAAATTGCAAGCAAAACAAACACCAAAATATTTTATCAAGACAAACAAAAAAAATGTTGCAGTATATCATCACTCTCATCCCCATTTGGTGTAGTAAATTAATTAATTTTACACAAACCATTTGTTATGATAGTTCAGTAAATTCATATATGTATGGGATTATACAGATCTATGATTATTATTTATAGTGATGAAAATTTTTTGTATTTGATTTGTGAATTATTCTCTGTGTGTATATGCGCATGCATTAAAAGTGGATGAAATTCATAATAGTTCATGAGAAATAGTTTAATGTTGAAAAAATAATTTTATAATAGTTTACTGTATAAAATTTTTGTCACCTTTTAAAATTCATATCTTTGTCATGTTTATACTTGGAAGTTTCCGTCTTTAAAAAAAATATAACTAAAACTATTCTGCCAGTGCATATGATTTTTAACAAAAATCTATGTTTAAAATGTTATAAATTACAAAAAATTTACAGATAAATCCTCTTGAATGTCCACACTGGCCTGCCCGAAGTGATATCGGAAATAAGGATTGTTTATACGTGGTAAATGTTCAGTTTTTTTAAAAACAACAAGTCAACAATTAAAACTTTAACAGACGTCCAAACAGCTTAAAAGTAACACAGTCAAAATTAACAAAACAGTTCTATCCACCTCATTCATCAGTTGTAACAATTCCTTTCAGTGTGGAATTTGGTAAAGCATTCAGGCAGGCACAGGTGTTTTCCACAATCATTACAGCCAAATTTGGTTTGTTTCACTGTCTCCTGATTTCTATTTTTTGTCCTCATGTAGCATAAATGGCATTTTGATTTCTTGTCAAAACTAGACGGCATATGTCTCTGAACAAGTCTGTTTTCAATTGTAACTTGTGATGGTCTTCCCCTGCGAATGTCAGATGAATATCATGCGACTAATCCTTTGGCAATATTTAAAGTAAAGTCAAGGAATGTCATAGATGATGAATGGTTATTGCTCATACGGAACAGTTTAAAAGCATTAAATTTTGTCATTTCAAGTAGGACAAAGAAAACACTCTTACTCCATTTGATTGTTTTGTGATTATAGCAGTAATATTGGATATACTGGTCGGCACGGTCAACACCTCCCATATTACTGGTATAATCTGCAACAGCCTTGGGACAGACAAAGTTTTACCTTGAGAAATTGCCATCTGTATTGACTAGTCTTTGCACTTCGGCTGTACTGTTGTCATGAATTGTTGACAATACATTTACAATTTTTTTGTCTTTCAAAGCTGCAGCTACAAGACATCCTTTTTGGCAGAATTTATGCCTTCTGGGCGTTTACAAATTATGTCAACGGGTAGTCCCCTACGGTTTATTCTGACTGTTCCACACGTTGCTGTACCGTAATTTTCAAATAAGTCTACTAAAAGCTCTGGGCTTGAAAAATAATTGTCGGTATAGACATTGTACCCTTTACCCTCTAGTTGTGCTCCCTGTAGACACCTTTTCACGACATTACTGGCGAGGTGTAATTGAGGAGTTGCACGTCTCCCTGGATATATGTTTATGAACTGTATATAGCTACTTTGAGACTCGACTAGCATCCACACCTTCACTCCCCATTTATGTGGCTTTGAAGGCATGTACTGTGGAAACTGAACTCTACTTTTAAACAGAATCATACTCTCGTCTATAGTGACATTTCTTTTAGGGTTTTATTCATGGTTGAAGCAGGCATTGAAGTGATTTAACAAGGGTTTGACTTTAAACAAGGGGTCACATTTGCAGCACCTGGTAATGGTTCTAACTCTGAGTTTGAAAAGTGGCGATACCTCATTATCTGAGTGAAACTGTCATGACTCATAGTGTTTGGAAATACAGGAGTATGCAAAATTTGATCAGTTGACCAGTACATATTGGTAGATGGTTTCCTATCAACAACCATTTGGAAACAGAGTCCAAGAAAAGCATTCATCTCAGCAACTGTGGGTCTTACCTATGCCATTTTGTTCTGATTTGGGTGTTGCTCTTTCTGTTTTAGGGCATAGCGATCAGTTTCATCAATCAAATTTTCAATAAGCATTTCAGTCAGGAAAAGCTTAAGGAAATCTATAGGATCCTTGTCTTTTGGCATGATCCTAGTTGGCCCTGAGATTGCAGAGGGTGTGAAAAGGTGAGGCATTCCTCGTTCATAATACATAAAGTTTTCATGCCAACCATTATGCAAGACATTACCGGCATCACCAGCAGGCCCAGGGATATCAATGTCTGAATCACCCGATTCTAAGTAGCCGTCACTGTCATCACCTAAACCCTGTTGAAGTAACTGATGCTGATATCTAGCTTCAGCTTCATCTCTTTCACCTGGAGAAAAGCCTTCAAATTCATCAGATTCATCAGACGACATTTTTTTTAACCTTTTTTGACTAAACAAGTGACCCAACCGTGAAACGAGACTTACCTTTCATCACTTCTTTTACTTAAATTAACAAATAAAAATAGCAGAAAACACCTCTACATTGTCAGGTTACATGTCTTAGTTAGTTGATTATTTTATTTTAACTTCTTACTAAATAAAATAGACGCGAAAACAAACTTTTTACCGGAGTGCATAAATTGTGTTATATTTTTCCGCCATGATTGTTGACATATTTTCTATAACGATGTGTATGTTCTATTTTTGGTTGGTGGAATTTTTGTATTTTTAGCATACTAAAAAGGTAATTGAGGGTTAAATTATAATGCCAGAATTCTCGAGATTTTTATCTTTTCGTTGATATATTAAATGACCGGCAAGAATTATTTTTAACTAGCTTTATTTTTGTTTGCAAATGTAATGTCACAGAGAGAAATTTTACTATCATACAAGCACCTGCTCGACATTTTAAGCATATTTAAAAAAAAACAACAATCCTGAAGTTATAGCAAAAATAACCTGAATTTTGTATTTTTATATAATAAATTTAATTTCATTCATTGTTGCTTTGAATACTTACAAGATTTTGATAATAAAAAAAAAACGATTCAATGAGGAGTTTTTCGTTTCACCATTTTGCAAATGGAGTCGATATTTTTTCATGTTTTATTTTAAGTTTTCGCATTTGATGAACAATATATTCTTTCAGCCATTGTAAAACTCAAATTATATTATATTATTTTAACTTTATTTACACCATGAACTGAAACCTATGGTTAGAATTCAGTATTTTTACTTTTGAAGTTGTCGTTCTTAAAAAAGAAATTTAGGTATCCTTAAGGATAATTTTCGCCCACAGCTCCGTGGTGCCAAAAGGATCATTTCGGTACAAAAGGGTTAAAGAAGTCTTTCTTTACAAATCTGCTTTAATCAGTGATGACATTTCTTGTTAGGTTTGCCTTTCTTGTATTTATTGTAGCTGTTTTGTTTTTGTTTATTAGAAATCTCCATAGAAATTATTCTTTGATCATATTTTACAGCTGGTTAACTCTTACTTACTTGGAAGTCATCATAACCTAGAACTTCAGACAGCTGCATGTCGTCTGCTGCTAGATGTGCTACCTGGATTGGAAGTAGGAATTGTATTTGTAGAGACAGTAAGTTTTCATACAGAAGTTGTGTCATTGTTTTTCTCATATTTTTATCTGATTTATACTTTCCTTGATTGGTTATTTTTTTTAAAATCAATGTTTGGTTTGCTTGATCTCAGTTCTCAATTGGTAGAAATTCAATTATGATCTAAAGTTTTCTTGCTTTCCTCTGAATTTACTATTGTGACATCACTAAAAAGGTGACCATGCCTAATGAAGTCACATAAAAAGAACACATATTTTGCAGATCATTAGAAAAGAAAACGTATGTTTGTCTACATCTTGTATTGCATGAGGAAAGTGAAATGTAGATGAAATTAACATTCATTACTATTTAAAAATATTCAGTTACTAAATGTGTATGTCATTATCCATAGGAAGGTATAATACGTCCCTTACTGCAGTGGGCAGAGAAGGCAGAAGAGCCACTGAGATCATATGCCACAGGTCTGTTAGCAGGGGCTATGGAAGTACAGGATGTTGCTGTAGACTATAAAGATGAAAATCACCACCTGGTAAAATATTTTCTAGAATGAAGTATCTTTTCTTGTTTCTTGTTAAACAAGTTATAGAGATGCAGTAAAAAGATATAATATTACCACATAAAATGAAAAAGTATATGGTTGTAACACACTTCCAAGTCTTGAAACAATTGGTTGCTGGCTTGTATTTGATACTGGAAATTCAGAAATTATTGCATGCATTTATTATTGTGATTTTCGAAGACAGGACAAAAATGCAAGATTTATTTTTGCGATTTCAGTAAAATCTGCTTACAGATATATTTATCAGATGTCAGAATGCGAGTTTTTATTATTGCGATTCTCACCCAGTCACATTATTTGCAATATTAAAAACCTCACAATAATTTCGAAATTTACAGTATTTTATTAAAAAAAACATGTCTTTATCCTTGCATTCAATTTTCTGCTAGTGTTCATGTTTTAAAAAAGTGAGACAACTCTTTAACCCGCAAAAAATCCTAGTAGTAATAACAGAACTATTTTACTTTCAAAATTGTATTATTTGTAATATCCATTAAATAGGTGATTTATCGCACACTTTCAACAGATTTTTTTATACGACCGCAAAAAAAATTTGCGGTCGTATATTGGTATGACGTTGGCCTCGTCGTCGTTGTCCGAAGACACATTGGTTTTCGCACTCTAACTTTAGTTTAAGTGAATGGATCTCTATGAAATTTTACCATAAGGTGCAATACCTCAATAGGAAGGCGGGGATTGATTTTGGGGGTTATGGTACCAACAGTTAAGGAAATAGGGGGCAAAAAATAAGCATTTTTGTAACTTCCAGACATAACTTGTGTGTTAGTGTATGGATCTCTCTGATATTGTACCGCAAGGTACTATACCACAGAGGGAAGGCTGGGATTGAGTTTGGGGGTGATGAATCATAAGGGGGTTCAAAAAATTTGGGGGGGGGTTTCCTTTTTATACGACTGCAAAAAAATTTTTGTGGTCGTATATTGGTATGACGTTGGCGTTGTCGTCGTCGTCTGGCGTCATCTGGCGTCGTCCGAAGACACATTGGTTTTCGCACTCTAACTTTAGTTTAAGTGAATGGATCTCTATGAAACTTTACCACAAGGTTCAATACCACAAAAGGAAGGTTGGGATTGATTTTGGGGGTTATGGTACCAACATTAAAGGAATTAGGGGCCAAAAATAAGCATTTTTGTAACTTCCAGACATAACTTGTGTGTTAGTGTATGGATCTCTCTGACATTGTACCACAAGGTTCCATATCACAAAAGGAATGCTGGGATTGATTTTGGGGGTAATTGCCTCAAAATTTTTGGAATTAGGGGCCAAAAAGGGGCAAAAAACAAGCATTATTCTAGTTTCATGACAATAACTTGTGTGTAAGTGTATGGATCTTTCTGAAATTGTAATACAAGGTTCCATATCACAAAGGGAAAGCTGGAATTGAGTTTGGGGGTAATTGCTGAAACGTTTAGGAATTGGGGGCCAAAAAGGGGCCAAAAATAAGCATTTTTCTAGTTTCCAGACAATAACTTGTGTTCAAGTGTATGGATCTCTCTGAAATTGTACTGCAAGGTACCATACCACAAAGGAAAGGCTGGGATTGATGATGGGGGTAATTGCCTCAATATTTTAGGAATTAGGGGCCAAAAAGGGGCAAAAAACACATTTTTCTAGTTTCAGGACAATAACTTGTGTGTAAGTGTATGGATCTTTCTGAAATTGTACTACAAGGTTCCATATCACAAAGGGAAAGCTGGGTTTGAGTTTGGGGTTAATTGCCGTAACGTTTAGGAATTTGGGGCCAAAAAGGGGCCAAAAAACACATTTTTCTAGTTTCCAGACAATAACTTGTGTTCAAATGTATGGATCTCTCTGAAATTGTACTGCAAGGTACCATACCACAAAGGGAAGGCTGGGATTGAGTTTGGGGGTGATGAATCATAAGGGGGTTCAAAAAATTTGGGGGGGGGGGGGGATTTTTTTTTTTTCCTTTTTTTTTTCTTTTAAAATTTTCCATTTTAAGTTGGTTATTTCTGATTTATATTTAAAAGCAAATAATAATGATATGGTAGGAGATACACACCAAACAGGATGTGTAAATTATTATATTATAAGTATTGTGCAATAGCAAGAAATTTTCAATTGCACAGTATTGCACAATAGCAAGAAATCTTCAATTGCACAGTATTGCGTAATAGCAAGAAATCTTCAATTGCACAGTATTGCGCAATAGCAAGAAATATCCAATAGCACAATATTGCGCAATAGCTAGAAATTGTCAACTGTACAGTATTGCGCAATAGCAAGAAATAGTTAATTGCACAGTATTGTGCAAAAGAAGATACTTCGTATAAATTGCTTATTTCTTGACCAATTTCAATGGGGTTTTATTCTTGAATTCTTGGGGTTCTTTAATATGCTGAATCTAACTGTGTATTTAGTTTTTGGATTTTGGGCCCCGTTTTTAAATTGGTCCACATTGAGGTCGAAAAGTTCCAAAATTAAACTTTGTTTGATTTCATCAAAAATTGAATTATTGGGGTTCTTTGATATGCCGAATCTAACCGTGTATTTAGATTCTTAATTTTTGGTTCTGTTTTCAAATTGGTCTACATTAAGGTCCAAAGGGTCCAAAATTAAACTTTGTTTGATTTCATCAAAAATTGAATTCTTGGGGTTCTTTGATATGCTGAATCTAACCATGTATTTAGATTTTGGATATTGGACCATAATAGGTGAATGTCCAATTTAAAATTTTTAAGTTCTTAGACCACATTCATTCTGTGTCAGAAACCTATGCTGTGTCAAATATTTAATCACAATCCAAATGCAAAGCTGTATCAAGCTTGAATGTTGTGTCCATACTTGACCCAACTGTTCAGGGTTCGACCTCTGCGGTCGTATCAAGCTGCGCCCTGCGGAGCATTTTTTTTTTCTTTAAAATTTTCCATTTTGAATTGGTTATTTCTGATTTATATATAAAAGCAAATAATAATGATATGGTTTGAATAGGTAAATTAAAATTTTTTAAGTTCTTGGACCACATTCATTCCGTGTCAGAAACCTATGCTGTGTCAAATATTTAATCACAATCCAAATTCAGTGCTGTATCAAGCTTGAATGTTGTGTCCATATTTGCCCCAACTGTTCAGGGTTCGACCTCTGCGGTCGTATCAAGCTGCGCCCAGCGGAGCATTTTATTACAATTGACAGGATTTTTTTTTTAATTTTCTGTAAATGAAAAACTCAACTATTGCACATACTACTTAAGACTTGCCAGAGTTGAAGCAAATGATGAAAAAGTTTTTTCTGCATGCAGGGGCATTCATATGGTATCCATATATCTAGTTTTCTCTTTTTTGGGGCGAGCTCTGTTGAATTTTTTTTTCTCCTCAATTTAAACAAGTTCAAAAATGCTGAAAAAACCTAAGGTGTCTACCTTCCAATTTAATTTTTGAAAATTGTAAATGGAAAAATGGATATTTTTGAGAAAAAAATGCTAAAAATTTTGTGTAAATCTCATATTTTACAGGTACTAGTACTTTTAAAACGTTTACATGAATTGAAATCACAGATGGAAAAGGAGAATCACGAAAAGATGAAACACATAGAAAGACCATTTGGACAGTTTTCTGGTAAATCTTGTGGATCAACTTCTCCTGGTAGATCAGGATTGGTTCCCACGAGTAGTGGCGAACATATCTCTGCAAGAGTTAATAGTGTCAAGATATCACCAAATAAGATTACAGTGAATGGTGTGGAAGGGGATAGTTCATTACCCTATGTTTCACCAACCAAAAGGAATATAGGTAGCAATTCACCAAGGTCACAGGCAATTTATGACATTGGTAAGTACACATAACTTTATTTTATGAAATACAATGAGAAGATTGATGTTTTATTGTTTAATATAGAAGTTTTATTAAAGGTTAAGGTGACTTAAGATATATATCTTTATTAGCATTACAGTTCTAAAGGTATAATTTACATTATTTTTGGTTTATCTGTCATTTTTTTCTCTATCATTTATAAAAGTACAATAATAAAAGTAATATCAATATTAAAATATTAATTTTAGAAATACTTAAAATTCCTTAAGGTATAATAATCATCTACCTGATTTATAGATACTGAGATAAGTGGTAGCAGTTGGACTAATCAACAACCATATGTAATAGGGACATATTCCATGAGCCCATTAACTCTATCAATGAAGCAGAGACTTATTTTACAGTATCTTACACCATTAGCTGAATATCAAGAGGTTAGTATAACAGTATTTTACATTGTTGACTGAGTTGTATTACACTAGAGCATAGGTACTGTAGTCTCTAACAGTATTTTACATTGTTGGCCGAGTTGTATTACACTAGAGCATAGGTACTGTAGTCTCTAACAGTATTTTACATTGTTGGCCGAGTTGTATTACACTAGAGCATAGGTACTGTAGTCTCTAACTGTATTTTACATTGTTGGCCGAGTTGTATTACACTAGAGCATAGGTACTGTAGTCTCTAACAGTATTTTACATTGTTGACTGAGTTGTATTACACTAGAGCATAGGTACTGTAGTCTCTAACAGTATTTTACATTGTTGACCGAGTTGTATTACACTAGAGCATAGGTACTGTAGTCTCTAACAGTATTTTACATTGTTGGCCGAGTTGTATTACACTAGAGCATAGGTACTGTAGTCTCTAACAGTATTTTACATTGTTGGCCGAGTTGTATTACACTAGAGCATAGGTACTGTAGTCTTTAACAGTATTTTACATTGTTGGCCGAGTTGTATTACACTAGAGCATAGGTACTGTAGTCTCTAACTGTATTTTACATTGTTGGCCGAGTTGTATTACACTAGAGCATAGGTACTGTAGTCTCTAACTGTATTTTACATTGTTGGCCGAGTTGTATTACACTAGAGCATAGGTACTGTAGTCTCTAACTGTATTTTACATTGTTGGCCGAGTTGTATTACACTAGAGCATAGGTACTGTAGTCTCTAACTGTATTTTACATTGTTGGCCGAGTTGTATTACACTAGAGCATAGGTACTGTAGTCTCTAACAGTATTTTACATTGTTGGCCGAGTTGTATTACACTAGAGCATAGGTACTGTAGTCTCTAACTGTATTTTACATTGTTGGCCGAGTTGTATTACACTAGAGCATAGGTACTGTAGTCTCTAACAGTATTTTACATTGTTGGCCGAGTTGTATTACACTAGAGCATAGGTACTGTAGTCTATAATAGTATTTTACATTGTTGGCCGAGTTGTATTACACTAGAGCATAGGTACTGTAGTCTCTAACAGTATTTTACATTGTTGACTGAGTTGTATTACACTAGAGCATAGGTACTGTAGTCTATAACAGTATTTTACATTGTTGGCCGAGTTGTATTACACTAGAGCATAGGTACTGTAGTCTCTAACAGTATTTTACATTGTTGGCCGAGTTGTATTACACTAGAGCATAGGTACTGTAGTCTATAACAGTATTTTTTTTACATTGTTGACCGAGTTGTATTACACTAGAGCATAGGTACTGTAGTCTCTAACAGTATTTTACATTGTTGACTGAGTTGTATTACACTAGAGCATAGGTACTGTAGTCTATAACAGTATTTTACATTGTTGGCCGAGTTGTATTACACTAGAGCATAGGTACTGTAGTCTCTAACAGTATTTTACATTGTTGGCCGAGTTGTATTACACTAGAGCATAGGTACTGTAGTCTATAACAGTATTTTACATTGTTGGCCGAGTTGTATTACACTAGAGCATAGGTACTGTAGTCTCTAACAGTATTTTACATTGTTGGCCGAGTTGTATTACACTAGAGCATAGGTACTGTAGTCTATAACAGTATTTTACATTGTTGACTGAGTTGTATTACACTAGAGCATAGGTACTGTAGTCTATAACAGTATTTTACATTGTTGGCCGAGTTGTATTACACTAGAGCATAGGTACTGTAGTCTATAACAGTATTTTACATTGTTGGCCGAGTTGTATTACACTAGAGCATAGGTACTGTAGTCTATAACAGTATTTTACATTGTTGGCCGAGTTGTATTACACTAGAGCATAGGTACTGTAGTCTCTAACAGTATTTTACATTGTTGGCCGAGTTGTATTACACTAGAGCATAGGTACTGTAGTCTATAACAGTATTTTTTTTACATTGTTGACCGAGTTGTATTACACTAGAGCATAGGTACTGTAGTCTCTAACAGTATTTTACATTGTTGGCCATGTTGTATTACACTAGAGCATAGGTACTGTATAACAGAGGAGATAGACAGATGTCACTTTGTCATTCCATTTATGCAAGTATTAAAAATGGAAATTGATGTATGAGAGAAGATTGTCTAGTTCTGTGAAAATAATACAAGACTTAAGTTAACTAGTATACATATATTATCTGACTTTTTTTTCTTACTTTCTATTTGAATGTGCAAGACTAGAAAATTAGTTAACTAGTATACATATATTATCTGACTTTTTTTTTCTTACTTTCTATTTGAATGTGCAAGACTAGAAAATTGACAAGTTCAGGATGCATGTTTTTTAACTTATGACCAACAGGTAAATAGAAAGTGATTCTTTAAGATTTTGACTTTTAAGGACATAGACAGTTGATTAAGACTCAGTAGTAATCCAGTTTAGGTGAATTTAAAGTTTTTAGTACAACAAGAGTTCATCATAGGAAAAATAACCATCTTTCTTACTTAAATAATTTTTCAGTCTAATTTTATCTGAAAATATTGCTTTTTTACCTTTCCAGCTTCTGAGTACAGCTTTTGAAAAGAATGCATTAGATTTGATATTTTATTATGTTGACTTGAAAAAGAATGTTGATGGAAGATTAGCACTAGAAGCATTAAAGGTACTTTAAGGCCAAGTAGTTAAGTATCTGTTGGTATGAATAAAGAGATACAAATTGTACCTCAATGAGACAGCAACCCTACAAGGCAAAAAAGAAAATACAAAATACATTAAGATGTTTATTACAGTCTTCAACAACTTTATAAACTGTGCAAGAAGACTTGATCTTGTCATTTGCCAAAAGTAGTTTGTACAGAATTGATGTATCTAAAAAAATACCAGACACCATGAGTTTATAAACAAAAGAATAGATAAAATCTTAACAAGTTTATTAAACCAGGAAGAAAGTTATGAAGGATAAATTCATAACTTTTCAATATTAGCAAACACTTATATTCAGCTCAACTTATTGTAACTCATACAGAAATTTTATATAATTTTCAGTATTTAGCTACACTATTATGTCACAAGAAGTTTTCTGTGGAGTTCCTGCAAACAAATGGAGTACAAAAGTTATTAGAAGTATACAGACCATCTATCTCAGCCACTGGTGTATCACTTTGTCTATATTACTTGTCTTATTTTGAAGATGCTATGGAAAGGGTAAGCTATATATAAGTTTTTATACGACCGCAAAAAAATTTTGTGGTCGTATATTGGTATGACGTTGGCGTCGTCGTCGTCCGAAGACACATTGGTTTTCGCACTCTAACTTTAGTTTAAGTGAATGGATCTTTTTGAAATTTGACCATAAGGTTAAATACCACAAAAGGAAGGTTGGGATTGATTTTGGGGGTTATGGTACCAACAGTTAAGGAATAAGGGGCCAAAAAGGGGCCAAAAATAAGCATTTTCTAGTTTCCAGACAATAACTGTGGAACGGTGTATGGATCTCTCTGAAATTATACTACAAGTTTCCATACCACAAAGGGATGGTTAGGATTTGCTTTGGGGGTTATGGCTCAAACCGTTTAGGAATTAGGGGCAAAAAAGGGGGAAAAACAAGGTTGTCCTGGTTAATGGACAAATACTTTAGTACAAAACATAATTTAAAGCAGTGTAAGGGAGATAAATCAAATACATCATTGAAATTATCTCCCTTACACTGCTTTTAAATTATGTATTAAGTAATGGTTAATGAACAATAAAGATAATTTAAAACAGTGTAAGGGAGTTAATCCAAATACAACGTTTTGGTTACTTCCCTTACACTGCTTATAAATTATGTTTAAAGAAATGCATATTTATAAAGGAAGACCAGTAAAAATATCTGCAAATGTTGCAATCTTTTTTTTTTACAAAAAAATCCATATGATGATTTGACACTATATTTGTAATTCTATTATAAAATAGATTAAGTTAGCACTATGGTAAATTTAAATGGGTAATTATGGTTGCCAACTCCATTGGAAATTTGAATTGAGATTATGACCATATCTTGAGGGAAAGAATTTTTTGGGGGAAAAAAGGGGGGGGGATAAAAAGAAATTGTGGGGGGTCAATTTTTTCTCATTTCAGATTTCAGAAATTAAAAAGAATTATTCTTCAAATATTATTTTTTTTTCAAATTTCAAATATTGAAAAATTTCAAGAAGTAATCTTTAATTGCACAGTATGGCGCATTAGATTTGTAAAATCTTTGATCACATTTATTTATTTGTTATGCCGAATCTAACAGTGTATTTAGATTTTTAATTTTGGGTCCAGTTTTCAAATTGGTCTACATTAAGGTCCAAAGGGTCCAAAATTAAACTTTGTTTGATTTTAGCAAAAATTGAATATATGAGGTTCTTTGATATGCTGAATCTAAACATGTATTTAGATTTTTGATTTTTGGCCCAGTTTTCAAGTTGGTCCAAATTGGGGTCCAAAATTTAACTTTGTTTGATTTCAACAAAAATTGAATATATGGGGTTCTTTGATATGCTGAATCTAACCATGTATTTAGATTTTTTATTTGTGGACCCCGTTATCAAATTGGTTCATATTGAGGTCAAAAGGGTCCAAAATTAAACTTTGTTTGATTTCATCAAAAATTGAATTATTGGGGTTCTTTGATATTCCAAATCTAACCGTGTATTTAGATTTTTAATTTTGAGTCCTGTTTTTTAAATTGGTCTACATTAAGGTCCAAAGGGTCCAAAATTAAACTTAGTTTGATTTTAACAAAAATTGAATTCTTGGGGTTCTTTGATATGCTGAATCTAAACATGTGTTTAGATTTTTGATTATGGGCCCAGTTTTCAAGTTGGTCCAAGTTGGGGTCCAAAATTAAACTTTGTTTGATTTCAACAAAAATTGAATATATGGGGTTCTTTGATATGCTGAATCTAAACATGTATTTAGATTTTTGATTATGGCCCAGTTTTCAAGTTGGTCCAAATTGGGGTCCAAAATTAAACTTTGTTTGATTTCAACAAAAATTGAATATATGAGGTTCTTTGATATGCTGAATCTAACCATGAATTTAGATTTTTTATTTGTGGGCCCCGCTATCAAATTGGTTCATATTGAGGTCAAAAGGGTCCAAAATTAAACTTTGTTTGATTTCATCAAAAATTGAATTATTGGGGTTCTTTGATATTCCAAATCTAACCGTGTATTTAGATTTTTAATTTTAAGTCCTGTTTTTTAAATTGGTCTACATTAAGGTCCAAAGGGTCCAAAATTAAACTTAGTTTGATTTTAGCAAAAATTGAATTCTTGGGGTTCTTTGATATGCTGAATCTAAACATGTGTTTAGATTTTTGATTATGGGCCCAGTTTTCAAGTTTGTCCAAGTTGGGGTCCAAAATTAAACTTTGTTTGATTTTAACAAAAATTAAATATATGGGGTTCTTTGATATGCTGAATCTAACCATGTATTTTGATTTTGGACATTGGACCATAATAGGTAAATTAAAAAAATTCAAGTTCTTAGACCACATTCTTTCTGTGTCAGAAACCTATGCTGTGTCAAATATTTAATAACAATCCAAATTCAGAGCATTATCAAGCTTGAATGTTGTGTCCATACTTGCCCCAACTGTTCAGGGTTCGACCTCTGCAGTCGTATCAAGCTGCGCCCCAGCGAAGCATTTTATTTTATAGATAAATTCTGTCCTACAAAATGACAATTTAACTAACTTCAAATATGTATATTGTTATACTAAAGAAGGGATAATTTTACAGTCCTACATTGTTGAGCAGCATCAATGCAAAACATTTGATTCAACATTGAGATGTAAATTAGAAAATTGATAATGGATGGATTGAAACTAATATCCATAATGTAAATATTTAATCAAATCACTTGAAAATAACACTTTTGTCTCAAAGGGTTAGTATGAGCTATTGTAATTTCTTTGATCTTTGTGTCATCTTTTAACAATTTAAAATTTTGAAAAATTTGTTCCAACTGCATCTTCTTAGTCTCTGCTGCCTCTTCAATATTAAAATTTTGTTAAATCTGATCCCTTTAAATCAGGAGACAAACATGGACCAAATTTGTATTATGAGACAAAATATTTTAATATTCAGGACAAGCAGAAAAATTAAATTTAATATCTAAAACAACATTCTTGATAACCTTGGATGTATTTACTATGCAAAAAATGAAGGTGTCTTCCACTTAGAACTGGTGTGTTGGCAGGAATACTGATGTTGTTTTTAAACTATTAAGTCAAAGAATTAACCCCAAAAATGATTAAAAAATGTCAAAGTCCAGTTGCAGGTTCCATGCTGCCTTTTGATTAAATATCACAGTTGTGAAGTGAGAATTGATGCAGCTTATTTGATTCATTTAATCAAATGCTAAAAACAAAATGGTAGACATATACTATTGTATTCTTAACATGCATTTTTTGTTTATATGATTTAAAGAGTTTTATTTTTTTTTGTAGGTTTGTTTGTTTCCAGAACATATCTTGTCTAAAGTTGTTAAGTAAGTAAAATATTTAATAATTTAAAGTCATCTGTGAATTTAAGAATCTGAGTCAACTAAAAGAGTCATGGCTAAAAGATTTTTTTTTATGGTTTAGTAAAATCATACATTATTTTAGTCCAAGGCAGGGGTTCAAATTAACATTTGGTACTGGAAGGTCCAGGACCTTTGACACTCCAAACTGAAAGGTCCACAACCTAAATTCTAGGTCCTACTTTTACTTGAAATATTTCCTAACATAGTAAGATACAAGTAACAAAATTAATGTGCTGTTGGTGTTAGGTCAACTTGTTTCATTGTCAAAGTCACTGTTTTATAAAATATTTAATAATAATTGTAATTGTCTTTTATATTATAAATTCAGATAATCTTTTTTCTTTGTTATTGAGGAGGGTGTCACCATGGGTGGGTGTGTTGTCTCAACTATTGGTAATTTATTACTACTTATACCATTTTATAAAACAGTTCAAATTCAAAGCTGTTTAAGCAGAGACGTATATATGTCTCTGGTTTAAGTGTATCATATCTAGTTGCACTATTATAATGCATTAGTTCCTCTGTGAAAATAAGATAAGAAACTTCCAGATTTGTACTGGTCCTATAAAATTGAGAAGACATTACCTCTTGGAATTGTAGTAATATGTTTACACTATACAACAATCTACATGTAATATCAATATTTATTAATGATAAAGAAAATTACTGTCACATTTTTTTGGATTTTGAGATGAAAATTTATGAACTAAAAGTAATTTTGAGTTTCTGTAAAAAAATATTTCCTACTTTTTCTTTCTTTTCAATATATCTTTTGGTTTTCAATTCTAGTGTTTATATTTTATCATCATAGATGTATTTTGTCAACAGCCTGGAATTATTATTTTTTCATTGTATTTGATCGGCAAACCCGGAATTACCCTTATCCGCTCCGGAATCGGATCCGTTTTTTGTTATTTTCTTCATTTCCTGTGTATGGCATCCAATGTTTTTCAATGTTGTTTTGTCAGTCAGATACGATTTTACTCGGATTTACACATTACTAGTTGGCAATTTTCGGTATAAAGCTAGCGGTTGAACAAAATGAACATCGCTGTCATGAATAATAATGATGAAAATAAATTTTGAGATTGTTTGGAAATTTTTGTTTAAAAAGGTCGGCAAAGTTTATTTTTATTTTCTTTCAAACCTAAGGTCCGTCGGGCATAGCTTGTAACCAAAACGAGAGTCCGACTGCAAAAATGGAAGGTCGCGGACCTCGGACCACCGCTAATTTGAACCCCTGCAAGGTCAGGAGGTATTAGTGTATTTTTTAAAACTTTTGCTCGGTAATTCAAGAGGGCTTAGATGTAAAAAAAAAAAAAATCACTTTAAAATCTGGTCTATTGACTGACTGACTTATTTGAACAGTTAAGTGAACAATCTGTTTATATTTAGAACACATATTCCAAACATTATCTGCATATATAGCAACTAGTTGGTAATCTACCAAAATTCTCTGTTTTTATACTCCTGCTCCAAAGAAGCTTCACCTCTGTCTAGCTGTCACATGCAATTTTCTCAGGAACTGCAAATCAGAGCATATAGAAAAAGAAATTAAAAAAGGGATTTGTTTGACTTTTCTGACATCATGGTAGCATTTTTTTGGTGAATAAACAAATTTTTTTTATGTTTTCAGTTATATTCTGTGGCTGTTGGAATGTTCCCACAATTCCAGCAGAAGTCATGCAGCCATGTTTTTAGGACAAGCCTTTACATTCAGGGTTATACTTGATTTATTTGATAAGAAGGATGGACTAAGAAGATTGGTTAATGTTGTAAGTTATTCTACTTTAAATTTTATATCAGTTACAATTTATGGATAACTTCCTGTTGTGTGTCTAAAAAATAAAATCGGCATTTATCAAAGAATATCAGAAATAGGCATGAATCTACATAAAAGGTTTTGTTGTGAGGCACAGGCTTTTTCTTAAGTCAAGCCATTGTCAAGATCAAGAAAAAGACATAAAATCCCTGGATAATGAAGAGATGAAATCATTAGAGGCTATCCCATTCTACAGAAATTTGTATTTTATGCTCAGTAATCATGTTTTAATAGTTATAGTTGTTCATTTCAATGAATTTTCTAATTATGAGCTTTGATGTAAAAGGCAAATATTTTGTATACTAGTTTATAATCATTGGTGTGCTTGAATCTCATTATGTATAAACCAAAATTAGGTATAAATTGACCTTATTTACTTGTGTTGTAAGATTTAATGTTATTTGTCTTAGATAAGTACACTGGAGATCTTGAATGAAAATGATGAACAAGTTCACAACACATTGAATGATGATCAGATATACACAATGAGACAGATGGTCAGACACGTTACATTTGCTATGAAACGCTATTTTGAAGCACACTTGTCACTGAAAGCTGATGAAATACGTAGATCTCACTTGAGAAATGATGGCGGTTCTCCCGTACAGGAGACACCAGCATATAAAGTAAGTAATAACAGTGAAAATGGAAAAATGGCACAAACATGTAAAAAATCTGTGGGTTGTGTTTTAATGGGTTTCTTGAATGTTTAACAAACTTGGCATTAATGCAGAATGTACTTAAGGCAAGTAACTTGAATTCATAGATTCACAAATTTTCCTCTTTAGGAATTTTAATATGGTCTGTATAGCTCAGGAAGTAAGTAGCTTGATTCATAATCTTAAAATCACTTTTTACACATCTTTTGATATTGTTTCACATTTTCTTCTTTTGTTGTTGTAATTTCCAATGAAGCTCAAATAATGTAGGATTGGGATAATATCTTTTTAAGATGATATGATGTTGTTATTTAATTAACTGATTTTCTTGTGTTGAAGTTCCAATATACTTTTAATACATTATTGTAATCTTAAAAATCATTTTTAAACATTTCAGCCACCTGTCTTCTTCAGTTTTTCAGTTATGTCTCTCAACTACATTTTATGTTCAAAATAATTTGACACCAAACATTTATTTGTCAGACATTTTCTTTATTGTTTATTATTGGAAATGTTATATTGTCCTAGAACATATTCACTTCTTCAGATGAAGTGAAATCTGTGAACAATATATTTTGCAGCCAATAAAAGTATCTGGTGAAGTGGTACAAGATAATATAGAGTTAATGATGGAGCTGATGCCTGTCAGACTTCACTGGGATCCAGAGTTGCTCTTCCATAAACTTGGGGGTGTTGTTCTGTTAACCAAATTACTGGCATTGATACCTTCATGGAGTAATTATACTGGAAAGTAAGTATTAAAACAAGTAAATTGTACATGGTTGTATCAGGGAAGATTAAATCTATATGATTCTAAACTTAAAAAGGCACCAGAGAATAATACTTTAGTTTATTGTCTACGAATGTGATATATAAGGAGGTATGATAATGGTAAGGAGGTCACTGTCAATCAAAACCAAGGGTCGTGAAAGTGAATATCAATATATCTAAAGGTCATGGCTTTTAATAATTGACATAGATACATACTGTATGGTAAGCCAAATGTGAACAATTCAAATTGGAAGAACATGCATTTAAATTAAACTATGAATGTTAAAATTGTGGTGTCCTTTCGAATCTTCACTGATTTGATATTTACTGTAATTAGTCAAGACCACAAAATTGACAACATTTGTATAAAACATAGACCTGAAATAAATTATTGTACCATATTTTACAACATGAATAAGATATCGACTGATTTTCAAATCTGTCCATCTTAATACTATGATAAACATAACATTCTTCAGTATTTTTATGCCCACTTATGGGCATCTGCCCGTTCCTCTGTCCGTCCTTCTGTCCCTCTTCAGGTTAAAGTTTTTGGTCAAGGTAGTTTTTGATGAAGTTGAAGTCCAATCAACTTGAAACTTAGTACACATGTTCCCTATGATATGATCTTTCTAATTTTAATGCCAAATTAGAGTTTTGACCCCAATTTCACGGTCCACTGAACATAGAAAATGATAGTGCGAGTGGGGCATCTGTGTACTATGGACACATTCTTGTTTTCAATATTTTTACATATACAAGAATCAAATGTGATATAAAATATTTTATCTATTTTTTGTATTTAAGGTCAGAGACGGTCAAGAATACACTAGATATATTCACTGTGTGTACAGTTACTCCAAAGACACAGTTAGCTTTATTACAAAATATTACTGTACCAGAAAATTTAGTTTATCCTGCCATCAGGTATGATGAATACATATATAACACCATGATTTAAATTTTCATGTAGTAGGGATAATTGATAAAGTTTTCAGTCTAAAATACAAAACCACAATGAATTTTCTAAACAATTGTCTTTTTGATAATTTTATTACATTGAGTTGAAATATGTAAGCTTTTATTTTAAGATGTGCTGGAATAAATAAGAGATATGGATGTTGATATTATTAGATAAGCAGTATTGACATATTTCATCATGAGATTTTTACAAAATTATGACATCTGACAATAGGTTTCCAAGTAAATTTGAACTGGCTGGACATTTTATCAATTCTGTTTTTGTGCTCTTGCATTTGTAAATAAGTGTAATAAAGCCAATGAAGGTAAGTAACTTTAGGGAGATGAATGACCAGAAATTTTTGTCAAAACACATGATTATAACCCACAGAACAAAGTTCCATAGGGTATAATGTTTTTGACCCGCCTGTCCATCCGTCAGTCCTATTCTTGTCATCACAACTCCTCTAGAATCGCTTAACAGAATTTCATGCAACTTTGTAGATAATAAGGACATACTGTGTAGATGTGCATATTGACAGGAAATTATGATTCAAGTTATTTTCTAGGATTTATATCCATTTGAATTTAGAATTTTGGCATAAATATACTACAACAGTTTGTTATCGCAACTCCTCTGAAACCACAATACAGAATTTCATGAAACTTTGTAGATAATAAGGACATACTATGTAGATGTGCATATCGTCAGGAAATTATGATTCAATTTATTTTCTAGGAGTTATGCCCATTTGAACTTAGAATTTTGTCCTAAATATACTACTGCAACATTTTGTCATCTCAACTCCTCTGAAACCACACAACAGAATTTTATGAAACTTTGTAGTTATTGAGGACATAATATGTAGATGTGCATGTCCACAAAATTTTTTATCAGTTGACTTTTGTAGGAGTTATGAGTCTTTGAACTTAGGAATCTGGTGAGATTTTGTTAGCCCAGTGACAATGTGGGGGTGTGGGGTATGTGAGCGTGCTCACTAAGGTTCTTTAATTAATTCATACATTGATATGATTTTTTGTTAATTAACAGTGCATTCTTTTAAGTGTGAAAATTCATTGGACTTGGTTTTTGTTGAATTCATCAATAATGCAATAGAATACTGATAAGAAACTGAACTGTTGTATTACAATGTTGTTTTCCGGTCTGTGTCTGTCAATCCTGATTTAAGTTTGGTTTACGGTAGTTTGCTATGAAGTTGTGGTCACATCAACCTGAAAGAAATTATTATACATGTTCATAGTGATTTTAACTTCAAAAATATATGCCAAATTAAGGATTTGACCCAGAACAGGGCATGGTGTCCAATACACTATTCTTGTATTTTGTTCACATGAGATATTTATAATTATCCATTTCATTGAATTTCTGTTTAGAGAATTGTCTTAAAATAAACAAACAAGTCTAGAAAATATAACTGGTTTTTTATCTGACTTAAAAAAAACTCCTTTTAACACCATTGTAGATTTTGTGACTTTTATCCAAGATCATTTTTATTTTAGCATATTTATAAATTTAGCTGATGGTGAAACATTAGCAGAACCAGAAGTACAGAAGTCAGCATTGAATGTTCTGATAAATTGTGTGTGTGGTCCTATAGAAAGGGTAAGATTGGAATAAATAACAATTATTATTGAGTTATCAATTTATTATCAGTAACAAATATATATGTATGGCACAGCCAAGATAAAGATAATTCTAATATAAGTAAAGTTGGAAAGAAAATAAGCTGTAATTTGTGATTGCATCATTATTATTATTTTGATTTTCAAATTTAAAAAAACTAAACCAATGTTAAATTAGGTTAGAAATTGTTTTTTTATAGTATGAAGCTGGTGTAGGTAGATAAGTTTTAGAAATTGTTTTTTTTTATAATATTGAGCTGGTGTAGGTAAATAAGTTTGAGGAATTGTTTTTTTTATAGTATGGAGCTGGTGTAGGCAGATACATGAGTGTGGGTAGTAGGAAGAAGATAAATTCAAAGATGGGAGAAGATATTCTCAGTAAGATGTGGAATGGTATCAGAATTAACAATGGTATTATGGTAAGTAAAGTGTAATGGTATTAGAATTAACAATGGGATTATGGTAAGTAAAGTGGAATGGTATCAGAATTAACAATGGTATTATGGTAAGTAAAGTGGAATGGTATTAGAATTAACAATGGTATTATGGTAAGTAAAGTGGAATGGTATCAGAATTAACAATGGTATTATGGTAAGTAAAGTGGAATGGTATCAGAATTAACAATGGTATTATGGTAAGTAAAGTGGAATGGTATCAGAATTAACAATGGTGTTATGGTAAGTAAAGTGGAATGGTATCAGAATTAACAATGGTATTATGGTAAGTAAAGTGTAATGGTATTAGAATTAACAATGGTATTATGGTAAGTAAAGTGGAATGGTATTAGAATTAGCAATGGTTATATGGTTAGTCTGTTGCAGGAAGAAATCAGAAATTCAGTCAGTCTAGTCTGATATTTAAGTGACATGCCAACTTGTCAACTTTTTTAGCCCAATCAGATGTTGTGTGATATGATGCAAGCTTGAATTTGACAAATCAAATATATTGATAACAAGTGCCATGGTTCAGTTTTATCTGGTAATTGTTGCTTCAGGCAATGTTTTAGTTTGACCAGGGGAGTAGAGTGGACATGAATTTTATTTGACATTTTTCTTTGCTCTCTTTGCTAAGCTTGGAAGGAAGGGATTATATGTATATGTCAGTTTTTTCTCCCTCCTTTAGTCTTTAATTGTTAGACTTTCCAATTCCATTTAACAAGAAATTTTGATTAGACATAACTGACACCTGTTACTTTTATGTTACACAATTTTTCTTTCAGGTGCTTCTGAAGTTGTTATCTATTAAAACACCAATAACAGATGCTGATTCTATTAGGGCATTAGCCTGTAAGGTTAGTCACATAAATACTTTTTTAACAATAGATAGTTAGAGCTAATTTCCTAATGCTTGTAGATTAAGACTTTGGTTGGCATTCTTGCTTTGTTTGTATAAAAGTTTGCTCAAGCATTGTAATTAAGATTGACATCTACAAAACAATAAAAATAGGCAGAGTTAAACCTGTATACATTATACTTATATTTGATTGAATGTTTTGTATCTAAATATAATGTATGCAGGTTTAACTCCGCCTAGTTATATTATTTGCAGCTGTCAGTCTTAATTGCAATGCTTGAGCAAACATCTATACGAACAAAGCAAGCAAGCCAACCAAAGTCTTAATCTACAGGCATTAGGAAATAAGCTTTAAACATGATAGGGACATTTGTCCTATAACTTTGTGCATAAATCCAAATTTGGGCAAGGTACTCATTCATTCAAATTCTAAATTGCTGTGTGATGATATTTTGAATTTTTTTAAAAGAAATTCCAAAATTTGATGAGTCAGGATATAGGTTATTGTTCCCTTTTGAAAAAATTGTTTGAACTAAAGAGAACAATATTTATTGAGACTAATTACAAATGGGGGTAGACAGTTTGTGTCTGCAACTCTCAAATAACTTTCCAGATTTAAATGTTATGTTCAAAGAATCCTTATTATGTTAGATCATTGTGTATGTCTTATCATATTTTTATCTTATTTATTTTGGTGATTTCCCATAACATGAAAATATCTCCAAACATGACAAACTTTGGAGGGATTTGTGTATCTGCAAGTTAACTTAATGATAAAACTCTGAAACCAGTAACTGAATTTTGAAATATAGTGAGATTGGGTAAGAACTTTTTCTCAACATTGAAATTGTCTGTAACATTGATTGATTTAATATTCAGGCATTACTTGGACTTTCAAGATCAGAAACAGTAAGACAGATCATCAGCAAACTACCTCTCTTTACTAATGGACAGATACAATGTAAGTTCTACACATCAGTCTATTATCTTAGTCAACTTAAACAGTTAGACAGATCATCAGTAAACTACCTCTCTTTACTAATGGACAGATACAATGTAAGTTCTACATATCAGTCAATTATCTTAGTCAACTTAAACAGTAAGACATATCATCAGTAAACTACCTCTCTTTACTAATGGACAGATACAATGTAAGTTCTACATATCAGTCAATTATCTTAGTCAACTTAAACAGTTAGACATATCATCAGCAAACTACCTCTCTTTACTAATGGACAGATACAATGTAAGTTCTACACATCAGTCAATTATCTTAGTCAACTTAAACAGTTAGACAGATCATCAGTAAACTACCTCTCTTTACTAATGGACAGATAGAATGTAAGTTCTACACATCAGTCAATTATCTTAGTCAATTTAAACAGTTAGACAGATCATTAGTAAACTACCTCTCTTTACTAATGGACAGATACAATGTAAGTTCTGCACATCAGTCAATTATCTTAGTCAACTTAAACAGTTAGACAGATCATCAGTAAACTACCCCCCTTTACTAATGGACAGATACAATGTAAGTTATACACATCAATCAATTATCTTAGTCAACTTAAACAGTTAGACAGATCATCAGTAAACTACCTCTCTTTACTAATGGACAGATACAATGCAAGTTCTACACATCAGTCAATTATCTTAGTCAACTTAAACAGTAAGACATATCATCAGTAAACTACCTCTCTTTACTAATGGACAGATACAATGTAAGTTATACACACTAGTCAGTTATCTTGGTTAAGTAGTTGACAGATACAGTATAAGTTCTAAATATTGATATGTAAGCTGTCTTGTTATACTCCCAGCTTAGTTAAATGGTTGGTAATGATTGATAGTATAAGTTCTAAATATTGATATGTAAGTTGTCTTGTTATACCCCCCAGTGTTCTCCCCAGGCCATTAAAGGACCGCGGGCCCGCGATGTATAATTTTTTACCGCGGTGGTATCGTTCTTACCGCGATGTATAATTTTTCTCCATGGTGCTAAAATTTTTAGTTAAAAAATCGTAAAGTGTTAAACGACTTGTTAAATCTTTTCCGTGCGGTATAAAATTCCAGGTGAAATTTGACCAGTTCAAACCAGTTCAACACGGATTGTTTACACCACGTGATCGATTTACCTTTATGAGGTTAACCTTTGTTGATTGGATTTAATTGATGTAATTGACACTTTTTACATGTTTCTTTTGTGTTTTAATTTAGAGGTCATAACTTTATGATCATAGATAACTATTTTAAGGCTTCACTCACCACCTGACTATAGTCGGCAAATACTTTGTACACAACCGTGTTGACCCGATAGTTGTACACACGATGGTACATATTTTGTACATTATAAAGTTAGCTCAATACTTATATTATAGTTTTATATGTCTCTGATTAAACCATGGCAAAAATTATCTTTAATTATGACATAGTTATTGCATGATATTCCGGTTTCAAACTGTCAACAAGTAATTCAAAGGGGAAGGATCACATGACCCAGTTAGTTCATGTAGAATATTCAAGATTATTTACAATTAACTGCAATCTATTCTATTTTATAAATAAAATGCATGACTGTACCTTCAAACTGGATATCTATATCCATATGATCATCAATGAGTAACAGAAGTGATCTTGCAATTTTAATCCATAAGCACATGTTAAATCTATTTATATCTACTTCCTGTCATTTAGGCGGGAAAATACCGGTAGGGAGACTTTGTTGTTGACATTGAATATGTTACTTATAGATCTATAGACCTAAGATAAATTTATAGATTTAGGAATTCTTTTTAAAGGGATCATGACAAATAAAGATTTAGATTTCAGTGCAGTATTAAGTCTGTATCTATGTTTGATTATCACCAAAGACAAGAAAGGTTAATATTTACATGTACATGAAATCTATGGCAAAATGTTTTAAAATTTATGAAATTTTTTTTTTATTAAAATTTAAGATAGAAACTGGTTCAAATTATAACACAATTTTGTTCTTGTTAATTTTATATCTCCTTATGACAGGAATCCTTTCACATACAACAACTTTCTTTCTAGAAACTAGAAAGATTTTTTAAATTGAACATTTTTGTTCTCTTTTGAATCTGGGAACAGTATATCTAACAATATATATGTTCCTGTTTGAATGATATTTTATTTTTATTGATCATGGATAAAAGATTTAATTACTTTAAATTTAGATGAATATTATGTAATGAATCATGTTTTATTTATTTTAAAAAAAATATTAAAAAGAATACAAACTGTTTATTGATCTTTTTAACCAATAATATTCTGACATAACACAGTACCACAGTATTAAAACAAAACAAGAGACATAAAAACTGCAGTAACTAGAAATATAGCGACGCCACGTGACACAACTGATTGTATGAATCATTTCACCAAGCTGTTCAAACGCGTTACCCTGGTGCTATCCAAAAATCCTGGGGAGAACACTGCCCCCAGCTTAGTTAAGTGGATGTATTGATTGATAGTATAAGTTCTAAATATTGATATGTAAGCTGTCTTGTTATACCCCCAGCTTAGTTAAATGGGTGGTATTGATTGATAGTATAAGTTCTAAATATTGATCTGTAAGCTGTCTTGTTATACCCCCAGCTTAGTTAAATGGGTGGTATTGAATGATAGTATAAGTTCTAAATATTGATCTGTAAGCTGTCTTGTTATACCCCCAGCTTAGTTAAATGGGTGGTATTGAATGATAGTATAAGTTCTAAATATTGATCTGTAAGCTGTCTTGTTATACCCCCAGCTTAGTTAAATGGGTGGTATTGAATGATAGTATAAGTTCTAAATATTGATCTGTAAGCTGTCTTGTTATACCCCCAGCTTAGTTAAATGGGTGGTATTGAATGATAGTATAAGTTCTAAATATTGATCTGTAAGCTGTCTTGTTATACCCCCAGCTTAGTTAAATGGGTGGTATTGATTGATAGTATAAGTTCTACAGTATCATACATTGTAAGAAAAAAGATAGAGGAGTGCCACTATTCCTGACACACACAAAACACTGTTAAAATGTTAACCCTTAAGAATGTTGCCAAGCACTAAAACCCCCATGGAGATTTACAAAAGTTTGCAAGTATGTTATAAAATATATGATAACTAATGTCAATGCGATGATATTGACCCAATTTACTTGACTGTTGATTATGCTTCATTGAAATAACAGAATTTTTGCTAGTATTGAATCTACAAAAGAAAACAGCATCCTTGCTAAGTCGCATGAACATGAATATTCCTTTCAGTAGTTAAAAATAGAGCTTTCTTCACCTCACATAATTCATAATTTGTTATATCACCAAGCAGCTGTGTTCATCAAAGCACAGATGTAGTGTGATTGACATTTAGCAAAGAATTTCCCTCAAACCAGTGCAAGGAGCCATCTTGAACTTGCAGTGAGGTGAGAGTGTTTACCTTGGAGGCCTCACTCACTATGACTTTGAGAATACGAACAGCAATGAAAGCTAATTCTTTTGCTTTAGTTTTTAGCTCACCGGCTTCGGGCCCCATGTGAGCTTATGCCATCACTTGGCGTCCATCGTCGTCTGTCGTCGTAAACTTTTTAAAAAATCTTCTCATCTGAAACTACTAGGCCAAATACCTTCAAACTTTAACTTAATGTTCCTTAGGGTATCTAGTTTATAAATTGTATCCGAAGTTTAGATCCATCGACAAACATGGCCACCATGGCTTAAAATAGAACATAGGGGTCAAATGCAGTTTTTGGCTTATATCTTAAAAACTAAAGCTTTTAGAGCAAATCTGACTTGGGGTAAAATTGTTCAATTGGTCAAGATCTATCAGCCCTGAAATTTTCAAACGAATCGAACAACCCATTATGGGGTTGCTGCCACTAAATTGGTAGTTTTAAGGAAATTTTGCAGTTTTTTGTTATCTTGAATATTATTATAGATAGATATAAACTGTAAACAGCAATAATGTTCAGCAAAGTAAGATCTACAAAAAAATTAATAAGACCATAATTGTCAATTGACCCCTTAAGGAGTTATTGCCCTTTAAAGACAATTTTACACAATTTGTTCATCAAGTTTGCTAACATTTAAAAATCTTCTCCTCTGAAACTACTGGGCCAATTACCTTCAAACTTTAACTAAATGTTCCTTAGGGTATCTTGTTTATAATATGTATCCGAAGTTTTGATCCATTGACAAACATGGCCACCATGGCTAAAAATAGAACATAAGGGTCAAATGCAGTTTTTGGCTTATATCTCAAAAACTAAAGCTTTTAGAGCAAATCTGACATGGGGTAAAATTGTTCAATTGGTCAAGATCTATCGGCCCTGAAATAATCAGACGAATCGAACAACCCATTGTTGGGTTTCTGCCACTAAATTGGTAGTTTTAGCAAAATTTTGCAGTTTTTTGTTATTATCTTGAATATTACTATAGATAGATATAAACTGTAAGCTGCAATTTAATGTTCAGCAAAATAAGATCTACAAAAAAGTTAATCTGAACAAAATTGTCTATTGACCCCTTAAGGAGTTATTGCCCTTTAAAGACAATTTTACACAATTTGTTCATCAAGTTTGCTAACATTTAAAAATCTTCTCCTTTGAAATACAGGTGAGCAATTCAGGCTCTTGAGAGCCTCTTGTTTTATGTGTGTGTGTAGTGATTTTGTGTCGCAAATTGATTCACAATATCCTTTCTTTCCATATTAACACATGCCTAGAATTAAACAATTGTTAAGAAATGTCAGACTTTAATCAGGGCCATTTATAAGCTACTTTGTGGTTTGGGATTTGCTCCTTGTTGAAGGCCATACTGTGACTTTTAATTGTGAACTTCTTTGTCATTTATGTCAATTCACATTGCTATATGTTTAATTAAATTTGCTGCCTCACATCACCCAACAATTTTCCCAAAAAAATATCAAAACCATTTTTATAATATTTGCATTTTTTCCTACAGATTTAATGAAGGAACCAGTTTTACAAGACAAACAACAAGAATTTATCAAGTTCTGTAGATATGCCAGTGATTTAATGGAGAGGGTCTCTGGAAAACTTGCTAGTGCTAATTTTGATGCCTCACTTGACGAAATAAGAAGGGTATGTACTGTTTTATTTAGTATTTCTTTTTAATGCACTATAGTATATAGAAAGATTGGAGCTTTTTTGTTAACAAATTTCATGGTTTTAACTATATTCCAATACTGGAGATAAAAAGAAGGTTAATAAAAAAAACCAGAAAACTGAAATGGTTAAAAAAACCATGAGGAGAATAATCTGGATGTTTAAGTTTAAAACAATAAGCAAAAATACATTTATGGTGTCAAGTTCAATATTACTCGTACTTAATAAGATGTAGAAAATATATAGCATAGAGTTACTAAAATTCAGTTTTTCAATGAGAACATTTGTTCTGTTGGAAGAATTGTTATGACAAATTCTAACAGTAATTCTGCATATCAATGATAACCATTACTTTAAACTAGGGTTTAATGATCTTTGGACATTAAACAAAATACAGTCAATCAATTATTTGAATTAATGAGAGCCTTGAATGATATGTAAAATCAAACTTCAACTGTTTCAAAAGGGTAGGGATTAAAGTCCAAAAATAACGATGCCTGCATGTTTTTTGTTTAATTTTGCTGCACCATTTTCATTGTTTAACTATTTTTTTTTATTTATCTTCTGCTTATATTTTGATAATGAATGTAAATTAATGTCATGAACTTTTGAACTTTTTACCTATATGTCATTGAACTTGTTACTTATACATAATTGAACTTTTTACCTATATGTCATTGAATTTATTATTTTTGCAATGAACTTGAACTTTTGAACTTTTTACTTATACATAATTGAACTTTTTACTAATATGTAATTGAACTTTTAATTAATATGTAATTGAACTGTTTACTTATACATAATTGAACTTTTTACTTATTTCAGGCTGATATTGTTGCTCACACTAAGATAAGATATTCTGAGAAAGAATTGTTACAGCTAATTCATGATCATCTACAGAAAAATGGTAATGTCTATTGATGTTTATTGTTCACTGTTGTAATCACATAATCTGAAAAACAAACTTTCTCAACTACAATTATGGACAATGGAAGATTACTCCCAATTCAAAATATTGCCTAAACAAATACAATGCAATGTTTAATTTTAAGTTCAATATTGCTATTAAATATGAATATACTGTAAAATGTGAAATATTCTCAATGGGTTTATTAGGGCCCCGCCGAATGGCGGCCGCCCTATAGTGATCAGTCTGTCCGTCCGTCCGTAACAAATTTTGTCCGCTCTATATCTAGAGAACCGTTATGATTTCAAAGTTTATACTTGACATGTATATTAACCAACACCAGAGGGTGTGTCATAATGTATTTTCAACTTCCTAGGTCAAAGGTCAAGGTCAAAAACTTTGGTTTTAGTTGACAACCCCATGTCCTATGGTAAAGATCGTGTCTGCTCTATATCTTTAGAACCATTATGATATCAAAGTTTATACTTGATATGTATATTAACCAACACCAGAGGGTGTGTCATAATGTATGTACAACTTCCTAGGTCAAAGGTCAAGGTCAAAAAATTTGGTTTTAGTTGACAACCCCATGTCCAATGGTAAAGATCGTGTCTGCTCTATATCTTGAGAACCGTTATGATTTCAAAGTTTATACAGTCGAACCTCGTTGTGTCGAAAACTCGGATGAGTCGAAGTAATTTCTCGGTCCATGTAAAATTCCCGTTTGATCAATGCATAATTACCTCTGATGAGTCGAACTCGGTTGATTCGAATACTCGGTTAAGTCGAGTAAATTTTATAGTCCCGTCGATGTAAAATTCATGTTAATTGACCCCGATGACTCGAAGTTCGAAAGTAAGAATTTTCAAAAGATGCAGACCTAATGATAAAAATTCAAATCGGATTTATTTCTTATGTAACCTAATCATTTTCCAAAGAGATTAAAGCTGAGTAAACATACTTGTTTGTATAACAGTTAAAATGACATGTTTATGGTGACCGGTAATTAACACCTTTGGTTGATCGTTCAAGCGGAATGTTAGTGTGTTGAACATTTTTCACACCAGATAAAAACAAAACGAAATTTAGATGACCCAAGCCGAGATTAAATGAATCGTTAGATTTAAAACTCATTAATTACACTAAATAAAAGGATTAGGACAATTATGATAAATTCATGATAATTTAATGTAAAGCAGACGACCTCTGGCTCATCAGAGACCGTTCATAACTTAATTCGTTCTGCGAGTGATTTCATAATTTATAGTGACTGACCTTTGTAAATATTTGTGTAGACTATTGATTTTATTTGTGCATGATTTTTATCTGTACTTGTGTGTTTAATTATTATGAAGGACAAAAAATTGAGATTGAATACACAATCATAAAGTGTCATATCGAAAAAAAGGCACACTGTTCATTGTATCTAGTTTACACAAATCATATCGTATTTAATGCATTCCAAATTTATGACGACACACTCCACCTCGGATGAGTCGAACCTCGGATGTGTCAAATACTTTGGTCCGGTCCCTTCGACTTCGACACAACGAGGTTCGACTGTACTTGATATGTATATAAACCAACACCAGAGGGTGTGTCATAATTTATGTACAACTTCCTAGGTCAAAGGTCAAGGTCAAAAACTTTGGTTTCATTTGACAACCCCATGTCCAATGATAAAGATACAAATTTTTTACCACACATTATTCACAGCGGGGCCCACAGAGATGGCTCCCATCTCAATGATATCTAGTTTTCACTAATTTTGCAATCCAGATATAATCATGAAAACCTCACCACATGTAAATTTGATCCATAAGGCATATCAGAATTAAGGAGAATAAAAACACAAATTTAAAATCTCACAAAAAAGTTTGGCCCTATAAATAGAGAAATTAAACTCTGAACAGTATCTTGTGTTAATATTACAAGAGAAGTCATCATTGCACTTCTGGTTGATTGTTGTCCGTGAAAGGGTTAATGCAACCATGTCTCTTAGTATTTTGTGTAAATGTACAAAATCTCTCATTCTCAGGATTAATGGATACTGCTTGTATGCTTCAAAAAGAAGGCAATTTACCTCGATGTACAACACCTCCTTTGATTCATCCTGCTAGCCCTCAACTCTACATGAATCCTCAGGCCACACCTAGTAGGATGGTATGTATTGAATGTTAAATGAGAGGAAGTTATATCAGATTTAGATAGAAGGATCTATGCTTTGAAAATGTGGTAAATTAGCAAATTTTTATACGACCGCAAAAAAATTTTTGTGGTCGTATATTGGTATGACGTTGGCGTCGTCGTCGTCGTCCCGCGTCGTCCGAAGACACATTGGTTTCCGCACTCTAACTTTAGTTTAAGTGAATGGATCTCTATGAAATTTTACCACAAGGTTCAATACCACAAAAGGAAGGTTGGGATTGATTTTGGGGGTTATGGTACCAACAGTAAAGGAATTAGGGGCCAAAAATAAGCATTTTTGTAACTTCCAGACATAACTTGTGTGTTAGTGTATGGATCTCTCTGACATTGTACCACAAGGTTCCATATCACAAAAGGAATGCTGGGATTGATTGTGGGGGTAATTGCCTCAAAATTTTAGGAATTAGGGGCCAAAAAAGGTGCAAAAAACAAGCATTTTTCTAGTTTCATGACAATAACTTGTGTGTAAGTGTATGGATCTTTCTGAAATTGTACTACAAGGTTCCATATCACAAAGGGAAAGCTGGATTTGAGTTTGGGGGTAATTGCCTAAACGTTTAGGAATTGGGGGCCAAAAAGGGGCCAAAAAACACATTTTTCTAGTTTCCAGACAATAACTTGTGTTTAAGTGTATGGATCTCTCTGAAATTGTACTGCAAGGTACCATACCACAAAGGGTAGGCTGGGATTGAGTTTGGGGGTGATGAATCATAAGGGGGTTCAAAAAATTTGGGGGGGGGGATTTTTTTTTTTTTTCCTTTTTTTTTCTTTTTATCCTTTTTTTTTTCTTTTAAAATTTTCCATTTTAAGTTGGTTATTTCTGATTTATATTTAAAAGCAATTAATAATGATATGGTAGGAGATACACACCAAACAGGATGTGTAAATTATTATATAATAAGTATTGTGCAATAGCAAGAAATTTTCAATTGCACAGTATTGCACAATAGCAAGAAATCTTCAATTGCCCAGTATTGCGCAATAGCAAGAAATCTTCAATTGCACAGTATTGCGCAATAGCAAGAAATATCCAATAGCACAATATTGCGCAATAGCAAGAAATTGTCAATTGTACAGTATTGCGCAATAGCAAGAAATATTTAATTGCACAGTATTGTGCAAAAGAAGATACTACGTATAAATTGCTTATTTCTTGACCAATTTCAATGGGGTTTTATTCTTGAATTCTTGGGGTTCTTTAATATGCTTAATCTTTTAAACCGTCTATTAAGTTTTTGGATTTTGGGCCCCGTTTTTAAATTGGTCCACATTGAGGTCCAAAGGGTCCAAAATTAAACTTTGTTTGATTTCATCAAAAATTGAGTTATTGGGGTTCTTTGATATGCCGAATCTAACCGTGTATTTAGATTCTTAATTTTTGGTTCCGTTTACAAATTGGTCTACATTAAGGTCCAAAGGGTCCAAAATTAAACTTAGTTTGATTTTAACAAAAATTGAATTCTTAGGGTTCTTTGATATGCTGAATCTAACCATGTATTTAGATTTTTGATTTTTTGGGCCCCGTTATCAACTTTGTCCACATTGAGATCAAAAGGGTCCAAAATTAAACTTTGTTTGATTTCATCAAAAATTGAATTCTTGGGGTTCTTTGAGATGCTGAATCTAACCATGTATTTAGATTTTGGATATTGGACCATAATAGGTGAATGTCCAATTTAAAAATTTTATTCATTCTGTGTCAGAAACCTATGCTGTGTCAAATATTTAGTCACAATCCAAATGCAAAGCTGTATCAAGCTTGAATGTTGTGTCCATACTTGCCCCAACTGTTCAGGGTTCGACCTCTGCGGTCGTATCAAGCTGCGCCCTGCGGAGCATTTTATTTAGTTTTCAATTCTACATGATGACAAATACACAGCTGCAGTTTGTGTTATTGTTTTCGTATATTTATTGCAAAGTACACACTAACACTTTAATTCTTGACCAGGGTAACATGTTTGAGTAGGTTCATGGGCTCAAGTAAATACTATAAAAATTAAAAATATCACATTTGATTTTCAGCCAAGACAGTTCAGTGCCATGTCATCATCTTCTCATGCTATATCAAGTGCTAGTGCTCCATCTTTGCCATTAACCAGTGTCAGTAGCCAATCAACAACCCCATGCACACCAGGCCCAATCAGATTCACCAGACAGTCTCAGGGATCACCTACAAACACTCCAAAGAATACTTATTCAAAATCTAGATTTTTACGTGAACGAGATAGTGTGTTTACTAGTCCGGCAATGAGGAGTAAAAATTTTACACTAAAATCACAAGGAAGTGATCACGATATGACATTAGACAAGATTGTGACAGAGTATCTACGAAAACAACATGCTCTGTGTCGGAACCCTGTATCAACTTGCCCATCTATGTCTCTTTTTACGTAAGTATTAATGTTCATTTAAAAAAGTTGTAAAGTTCTAGTAATCTATGTGATGACTGATTTCTCTTATATCTGGTAGATTGTTTTTTCACTCTAATATATTTAAAATATGCATTTAAGATATACACAGGATGTATGGTATGTACCAAGTCAGGCTATCTTGACCATATGTTGTTCATTGCTGTTTGTATTTATTTGTGTGTTTTTTTCAGAGAAGTTGGGAATTATTAGGTTAAAAATTTAAATGTTGCTTACAATATTTAAATGTTTTACCTGATAATTGATAAAAAGTGGGATAACAGGAATCACTAAAATACAGCACAGTATTAGACCTCAACAACCACCAACGCCCAACTTCTCTGAAAAAAACAAACACACCAATAAAGACATACTGCAACGGACAAAATATGGTCCAGATAGTCTGACTTGGTACAGGCACAAAATGTGGTGGAGTTAAACCATCTTTATATGTCCACAAATCTCCCCCTTTATCTAGACCATATGTCGTAAAATTATAACATTCAATAGTTCGATTATATTTTCATACATATGTAATAAGGTTGATAACTTTTGTAGTCTATAGACAAATTTACAAATATTTGACATGGGAGATAACTCTATTAGTCCAAGCCTTGATATCATGGATTATTTTGTTGTTCTTTGTACTGTTTGTACAGTTGTTCCTTATAAATTAAGTGCATGTTCATGCTGTAATTGAAGGTAGTCCAATGTTTGGTGTGTGTTTTAATAAAAAGACTGATATTGCATCAGCAGTCTCCATTACAAATTATTAAAGAGCAAACTGCTTATTGAAGACTACAAGACATACAAATATTAAATGCACTTCTCTTACATAAGTGTCTCTTGTTCTATTGTATCTGTTATATATTTAAAAAGATTTTTACATTCAGTAATATTTCTAAGGTTTCAAAAGTGATAAAATAATATTACTAGTTTACTGTTGTATGTCACAAAATATGATTTTTTTTCAAATAAACTTGAGACATGATATAACATGATATAAAAAATGTGCATCTGCCAGAACAGGTATTCCTTTACATAGAGAACGCCCCAAACCCCAACCCCACCCTTACCGAAAAAAAGAACAACAACCAAAAGAATATCTTGAAATCAAGATCAACATGCAGTGTTCAAAGTTCAGCTGTAAGATGTTTTTTAGGGGGAAGGGAAATTGCCAAGGGACTACAATAATATTACAGTTAGTTTCTAATTGCTTGCACTTGCAGAGGCATTTATTTTTTACACGCACATCTATGTTTTTATTTGTTTTTTATAGGCCTCATAGATGTCCAGAACCAAGAGGAAGTAAATTTGCATCTATTAACATCACCTCTAGATTAGCAAGTAGAGCTGTAAGTTTGATAATGTGAATAAAGAAAATAGAATCAAAGCCTGTAAATAATTAGGTTCAAAATTCAGTCAAGCTGCAAATTGGTATTGTTTGGAAGTTTGTTAAAGCCATGTTTTGTCTACAGTACAGTTTAAAATCAGACTTGCTGCTAATTTTGAAAAAATAATGTGAAATTAAACATGTCGTCTTGAAGATACCTGCAACATACATGTACATGTTTTTGCATATTACTCAAGGTCAAGCTTTTGGGGATATGGTTATGGTTTCTGTCTGTCTGTCCAAAACACATCAATACTCAGAGACTGTTTGATAGAAAGCTTTAATACTTGGTAGGATTAGTTGTCATATTCCCTTGACCATGCTATATTGTCAGTTTGATATGACAAATTTTACGGGAGTCAAAGTCCTAAATATAATATTATTACAATAACGCCTTGTGTACAGTTTCTGTGAGATCATATTACAGTAGGCTCTCATACTTGGTAGGATGGTTTGTTATCATGTTTAGTTGACCATATTATACCACTATTTGATTTAAACCTTTTTTATTTGAGTTATTGGACTTTGACCACTCTTTGGATTATTGTGACAATAACACCTTGTAAACTTGACTTGTCTTAGACCATATGACAGAAAGGTACTGTTGTTTGCCATCATGTGTAGTTGACCATACTGTACCACCATGTAGAATGAACCCGTTTTCACTAGAGTATAGAGACTTTGACCATTTGTGTGAGTATTGTAACAACATCTTGTGATAGCAACTCCTTTGAGACTGTTATACAGAAAGGTCTCAAACTTGATAAATTAAATTTGTTGATGACCATATTATTATGTCATTTTGATTTACCAATTTTTACTTTTTATGTGCGCCCCCCCCCCCCCCCCCCCCCCCCCTTTTAGGCAAAGGGAGCAGTTTCCTTTGACTGTTTGTTCTTCCATCTGTCCCATTTTCATTTCTGCACTCTAACTTAAGTTTGCCTCATCCAAATTTTATGAAACTCATACACAATGCTAAGACACAGACAGAGTTTCAATTTGGGTAGTGAGTCATTTACCATTCTAGAGTTATGGCCCTTTTTAACTTGGAAAATTGCAAAGCTTGAGCGGGGGCATTCATGTCCTCAGACACATTTTTCTTTTATTTACTTTTGTACCACAATAATTTGGGAATGCAACTACTGTGACACCATTTGGAAGAAAGCTCTTTATTTGGTAGGTTTGTTTGCCATCATTTGTTGATGACCATATTATAATGCCATTTTGATTTAACAATTTTTATTGAACTTTCACCATATTTTGACTATTGTAACACAATGACACACATTGAATTTTTCATTTATACAGCAGCAGGGGATATTTCACTATGGCATAGCAATCATATTCATTTGAAGAATAACAGTCTTACCTTTTGTTTATTATAGATTTTACCACCACATGGAGGACTAGATGGGGCATGTGCAAACAGAAAATTTATATATAGCAGGTATAGTACATTTCCAGTTTCTTGAAGGATGTTAAAGATGTTTGCCATCATAAGGCATATTTTTTTTAGAGTTTATAGAGTTTATAATGTGCTTTCACAAGTAAAAAGTTAAAACTTTGCTTTTTAATTTCTGATAATTCATTCAAATTAAGATGTGTGCTATATTTAGATGCCTTATTCCTTGTAATCTGATTAAAGATTGTCTGATATGTCATATTTAAAAAAAGATATAGGAAATTCTTTCCTGTGCTTACTTTCCTATGACACTGATTTCAGATTTCGTCCCGTCAGAACATACAAAGATGCAGATGAAAATGGTTTCTCTTGTTGTGCATTCTCAGTAAGTATTTATTTTAAATGAATGCTGGGTTTTAGTTTTATAAAATTGGATGATTTTAGGATAAAATTCCATTTTTATGACAGGAGATACCGGGTAGCAAATTTTAAATTCTTGATGTGATTTGCCACCAATGTTTTAAAGTAAGAGCATGCAGCAGATTTGATATTCCATACAAACAACACTAAACATAAATTGTATTCAACAGTATCAGTAATTTCAAAATTTTACCAGCTATAGGTCACCCTATGTCCTTTAACAATGACCAAAACCCATACCATATAGTCAGCTATAGATGGCCCAAACATGCCAAAAGGTGAAACGAATCAAACAAAAAAAAACAGTAGTCTGATTTATGACAAAACAATGAACAATAAATGAAAAACTATTATAACAGACAAAAACCAAGACAACCACTGAAAAAAAGGCTTGGGACAGGCACAAGTACAATGTGGCAGGGTTAAAAATGTTAATGAGGACACAATTTTCCCCTAACCTTGGAGAGGGGTGTAACACCACAACATAAGAACAAACTATAATCAGGAAATTATATTTAAACAATATCAGAAATAACAAAATGTTAATAAATAGAATCTAATCCAATAAAATTATGTATAACAGACTGATGTTTTATATTTGCAGGTGGATCAGCAGTATTTACTTCTAGGTACACACTCAGGTGATGTCAAATGTCTCAATGTATATACAGGGGATGTAAGTACTAAGGTTTCTTATTTGTAAAATAGTGAAGATGAGGCTTGAATATTTATGAGAAAAACACAAAGAACACAAATCTCTCAAAATTTTTCTGTTGACCCCGTCAATTAAAAAAAAAATTTGAACACTCAATTACTACCATCTTCGCTAGCCATGGGTTACGATCCAGTCCCTTCCTCTCCACCCTTGGCAGATTAAGCCACTCTTGACCAATGGCAGCACTTGAACTCTCTTCAGTGTGGAGGTGTAAAAATGGTTGCGTCTAGTATTTACAAACTTCGTAAATCTGGAACCGAAAATATATGTTGACATTCCAACATTTGCTTAAGAAACATACCCAAGAACTTCTATTAGTTGATTAAGAACTTCAAAATTGTCACTAAATGTTGTCGTATGTTTTGGGGGTAAAGACATGTTGCACAATCAGCACTTGGCAATTGTTTATTTACATATACACGTGATCATCTTAAAGGTGCTTTTTGATTGGATGCAGCCAGTTATAACTGCTACCAATGGAAATCATTACCTTGTGGATACAAAATTCTATCTTAATCCGCCAAGGATGGAGAGGAGGGGACTGGATCGTAACTCTTTGACTAGCGAAGATGAATTACTTCATATAGTATTGTATATTATGTCTTATTGTAATGCTATATGAACTTAATTATCTTGTTCTAAGACTTAACCATACATTGAAAAAGTCATCTGATTGTATACACAATTGAAAATAAGGATTTCTGGTCTGGTTGTCCGTCCCCTATCTGATGAAGGTTTTGGTTTCATGGAGTTTTAAAAACCATGAATTGTGGTCACATCAACTTGAAACTCGGTGCACATGTTAGTTTTGATGTGAACTTTAAAAAATGTATGCCAAATCAGGGTTTTGATGGAGATAAAAAAATTCATATGACTTAGAAATGTGATGGTGTTAGTTGTGGTGTTCTGTGGACGCACATTCCTGTTTTGAAATCTTTTGACAATGGAAGACAACTCAAAATATAAAGATAGAAATACAGCAAGGTCATTGATAATGGGATAGACTTTAATTTGTGTCAGTTCAATTTCATAATTATCAGAACTTTTTTTTAACAGGAAGTAGCCTCAAATCAATGTCATTCCAACACAGTAACAAATTTACAACCTTCTAAGGTAAGCATATTATTATAAGTTAATTTAATGACAACTTTAAGATGGGATAATAATTTTTTATTTAATTTGATGTATATCCTAGATAACATCTTATTATCAAAGTTATGAGGTGTACAAAACAAAGGTTAAAGAATGGCAAAAGTTGGTAGGGAAAAGAATTGAATAGATTCTTATTCCAGTGGGTCTTGTTTTCTGACAAATTTAAAGATAACATTTATTCCTTTTAAAACTACTGCAATATTAGCATTTTGAAAATGTTATATTTGGAGATTTTGAAATATGTATGATGGAGCTTCATATATTGTTTAGAAACATTTTGTGCATTCCAGATATTTTAGTTTTCAATGCATTTTTCAACTTCAACATACTTTCTCCCACTTGATCATTTAGTGTTTAAACTTTTAGAATTTAACAGTTATTACCAAGAAAGAATTAAATTTTTTAGAATGATATGGAATTGGTGAATCTACTAAAAGAGTTCAGATTTGAAGTGCAGAACATAGAAAAATAATATTCTAAAATATTTCATGATGTTGCGATTTGCCACCAATATTTTACAGTACAGAGAATTTCAAATGGCTTTTTCAATATCACATCCGTATCAACCCAAGACACCAATACAATCCCAAGAGCTCTGCTCATGGGATTATATTGGTTGAGGGTAGATAGTGTGTGATATTGAAAAGGCCATATCATATACACAAGAAGATGTTTTTCACGTGATGTGACGTAAAACAGATTAGGGGTTTGATAAAGCATTTGCAATCGTGACTGATATCGATGACGTGAAGTCATACAAATTAGGGGTGTGATAAAGCTTTTGCGACCGTGACTGATATTGATATCATCACGGATTGCTGATACAGCACAATTGTCATTGATCGTATTACACATACAATTTATCAGTATTTACCACTAGGCATATAATAATAGATATAGTTGGCATGGTTTGAGATGTGTAATGCTGCCAAGTGGTTTAACAAAATTTACAAATATATAATGCATTTTTAGCAATGAACTTTTACAATTTCAGGATGGAAATTTATTGTTAACATCATTTGCTATGTCATGGACAGATATCAGCTCTGCCTCCTCCTTATGGTCTATAGGGGATGGAACATCACTCTCAGAGAGGTATTATAATGGTGTTCAGTTGGGAGAACTGACAGTTTATATTTAAAATATTAAAGCTGTTTGTGCCAGATAAGACGGACCAGATTTGTTTTCTATAAATATTTTGAAGAGAATCTAAATAATTTTCCAGAACCATGTTAAGGAAAGTTTTCATTCTGTAATTTGAATTGTGCCAAAATATAGAGATATATATATATATATATATATATATATAAATTTCCTATTAAGTTAATGAATTGCTAGTAATATTCTTAGTTATTTACTGTAATTGTATTTAAACAGACAGTTTTAAATTGTGTATGTTGGACATGAGCATGATTGAATTAATTTCTGTTTAGGTATGCTTTAAATGGTCATCATGCAGAATTCAGTAAATTGATAGAGGACAAGATACTCACCACAGAAGGAGAAAAATCTTATGTAAGTTCTTATTATAATTCTTTATTAAAAGCACTAATTTTTAATAAAAAATTTAATATAGAAATGTGAATTAAAAACTTTTATGCACAAGTCTATCAATATATTTTCTTTTATAGATAATAGATGTACCAACAGGTGATACAATAGTAGAACTATATGATGCAGATAAAGTAAATGGTTATAGAGACAACAGGGCAACCTTTCACCCTTCAGATGACCTTGTATTAAATGATGGTGTATTATGGGACGTTCGAAGTGGCAAATCTATACATAAATTTGACAAGTTCAATCCTCATATAAGTGGAAGTTTTCATCCAATGGGATTGGAAATCATCATTAATTCAGAAATCGTATCCTTCAATATTGTGTTTATGTAATTTGAATTTATGAATTGTATTTTTCTTAAGTATTTGTCTGCTGTTAGCATTGTCACTATTCAGAATAGAAACTATTTCCAGTTGACCTTTGCTTAACAATTAAACTGTATTTGTTTTATTTGTAATTGCAGGGTGCATTCAAAGACCAACTACATAACTTACTATATGAATAACAGCTCTATTATAAACATATTCAATATTCTTGCTATGTTCTGTGTTTCTCAATTACAGATAAATATATATATATATATAAATTTAAGGACAAAATTTAATATCACCTAAGATTCCGGATTCAGGATTTTAAATGAAAATTTCATATGTTATTCTTACATTTCATTTTAAAAGCCGAATAAAGGTATTCTTTTTTGGTGATAATATTACTAATTTAGACATCAATTTTCATATATAACTTATAGTAAACGCAAAAGGTCAAGTTTTCAGTAAGCAACCTTAACAAATTATCAGTGGGATATCAGAACATTTCATCTATTACATACAGCACCAGCCTTAGATCAGTGCCAAATTAAATTCAGCAATGCTGGCGATATCATATATGGTATGTTAGTGCTAAAAGGGATAAAACCAGACTTAAACACAATATCAGACTTTTAAAACAGTTGTAGTTTAGTCAAATACAAAAGAAAGAATATTTTGTTTAATGTCCTTCCATCTGTCAATAAACTTTTCTGAAACAACTATACCAGTTGAGGTCCAAATTTGGACAACTATTTTAAGGATATCAACTGTAAAGATGTGATTTATTTTCTCACTGTTCAATCTACATGGCTACCAGGACTAGGAATTGCTAAATAAATAAATATTTTAAAAACCAATTGTTACATTAACCATCCACCTTTTGGAACAATTGTGAACCCAGATAGCTATCAACCATGGCTTTCACAATATGATAAATAGAAAAGTCAACAAAAAAGAGCAACTTCAACATTTGAAAGACCATGTATAGGGTCAAATGCTTATAAATTTAAGAAAAAGTATACATTTTGGCATTTTAATTCTTTCAAATCAATTTTCAAGCAAAATGAGCTGGTAGAATGTATGTAGAACAAGATAAGGAGTGTATTATATATTTACAGAAGTTTCCTGATTTAACTTTATTTCTTTAAACATATATTTTTAAACTCTTGACCTCTGAAGAAACCTAATGGAAAGTTTTGATGTATTCTATCGATATTTACTGATTATGCTGATATTACCATCTGTTTGTCATAGCTATAACCAATACATTTCTGTCAGCAAAAATAGCTTAAATTCTTACATAAAAAAAAGAATACAAGTAGTAAATTTTTTGAGGACTGATGATAAAATGATTTTAAGGTATCCATTTTTACTAGGTGACCAAAACAGATTTTTGGTTCAACATGTATGTTTCAGTGTTTTGTATTTTTTTCTGATAACAATCAATTTTAATCTTTGGTGGAAAGCAAGGTTTTTGGTTCCACATTTTTGCTGCATATTAAAAAAGGGAAAAAATATTAATCAAATTCAGGTGTAAAAATATTTGGAAAAAATTAATGAATTAATATGCAGATACTGAGTTGAAACAAAAAGATCAATTATGTAGTTTATGAGAAGTATGTATAAAATGAAGTTTAAATGGATTTTAGTTTGTTCTTTATTTTACAGCCATTCATATTGATGAGGAGAATGATATATATGAGAACAGTAAAAGTCCTTACAGCTCAACCCTTAGGACATTTGACTCTACAAATTATAGTTCCATAAGTGAGTAAAATTCCTTACCGATGAAAATTCAACACATTTGATTTTGAATTTCATAATTGTATACTGTAAATTCAGAAATTATTGCGTGCATTTATTATTGCGATTTTGTCATTTTAGACTAAAATGCGATTTTAATTTTTGCGATATTGAGAAAAATCCTGTTTAATTCATATCAAAAATTTCAAAATGCGAGTTTAAATTATTGCGATTATAACCCTGTCGCATTTTTCGCAATAATAAAAACATCGCAATAATTTCTGAATTTACAGTATTAGTAGTTGATTGATTATCTTTGGGGGAAATGTAGAATAAAAAAATATATATATGGCAAAGACTATAAAGTGTGAAATTTTTATAAAGATTTGGTGAGTATGATCAATTATTCCCTTACATAGGTTTTATCTTTTTGGAAGATCTGAATAAGGGACAAGAATATCATGAAAATAAAATATATAGTGAACAGGTTTGGCCATAGCAATGGCGAAATTTAAACTCCACTAAAAATAATCCACTTTAGTGTAAACTGAATTTTGACGAAATGATGTTCCTATAATATCTCTTTAGTAAAATATGGACTGCCATGTAAAAGTTCAAGTTCTTCAGGAAAAAAAACATACAAGCCTGAACTGTTACTCAAACAGAATAAACCAAACAAATCCTCAATTTTAGATGTGAATATCTGTTTATGATTCCTTATACTTTGAATGTATACACATTTGAAATTATTTTGTAGCTACATTTGAAACAAAAGCTCAAAGTATTTGTGACATATGTACAGAGAATACAGATTCTTGTATAGCTATGGTTGAGGTAAGTGGCAAACCTTACATTATTATTATCAGATAGTTTGTCTAGGATTGTACATTACTGAAATTAGATAACTTTCAAGATTGGATGATTGAAAAATTTGCCTGACAGATTTGGGGAGAAACAGGAGTGGTTAATCTGCAAGACTACTTTATGAGGAAGTTAAGCTGAATAATGCTAGTTTCACTTTAGATGAGAAAGAAAACTTAATTGTATTTATTTTTATAAATAATTGCGTGTATTTTTTGGTCGAGCCTGCGACTTTTGTCGCAGAAAACTCGACATAGGGATAGTGATCCAACAGCAGCGGCGTTAACTAACTACTTAAAAGCTTTATATTTCAGAAGGTAGAAGACGTGGATGCTTCATACTTTGTATATATATACCTTATGTTATGAAGTTTCTGTCTGTCATGTGTCCTTTGTCCTTGACCTCATTTTCATGGTTCAGTGACTACTTGAAAAAAAGTTTAAATTTTTTGTAAAGTTAATTTCTCTCTTATTATGATTAATAGGATAACAATATTTTGTATGTGCATACCTTGCACAGTCCTCATGCCTTTCAGTCAGTTTTTACTTGACCTCGACCTCATTTCATGGATCAGTGAACAAGGTCAAGTCCATATCTCAGATACTATAAGCAATAGGTCTACTATATTTGGTGTATGGAATGATTGTAAGGTGTACATGTCCAACTGGCAGGTGTCATCTCACCTTGACCTCATTTTCATGGTTCAGTGGTTAAAGTTAAGTTTTTGTGTTTTGGTCTATTTTTTTTATACTGTATGCAATAGGTCAGTATTGCAGGTTTCATTTGACCTTGACCTCATTTTCACAGTTCATTGCTCAATGTTAAGTTTTTGTGTTTTGGTCTGTTTTTCTCTATAAGCAATAGGTCACCTATGCTTGGTGTATGGAATGATTGTGTACATGTCTGTCTGGCAGGGTTCATCTGACTTTGACCTCATATTCATGGTTCATTGGTCAATATAATGTTTTCATGGTTTGGTCTGTTTCTTGTATACTATAAGCAATAGGTCAACTATATTCAATGTATAGAATGAATGTAAGGTGTACATGTATTTCTGGATTGGTTTATCTGACCTTGGCCTCATTTTCTTGGATCACGATAAGTTAATGTGATAATTGTAGTAAAACTTTATATTTAGGACTATCAACATAAAATCAATGGTAGTAAAGTAGGCAAGACATTTCAGCGTGTGCTCTCTTGTTTTATTTTAGCAAAATCAGCAGTTTGGTGAAACTTCCATGGATGAATTTGTTTGTAAGTTGTACGAAATAGGAAAACTAAAGGATTCTGAAGATGATCAGGTATGGATTATTTCCCTTTATTAGAATTCAAATATTATAGATACAGTAATTTTATAAAGTTTGAAAAACAAATTCAACAATATCAGAGTTCCAAATCAATCATTCTTTTACGATAGGTAAGCAAATATGTGCAATAACTATTAATATATTTAAATTGATACTTCTTGGTGAAAAGTTTTATTTCATAACTTTGTAAACAGCCTTACTTGACAATATCCTCAGAACTTTCCGTTATTTTACAGCAGGCTGAAGAAGAAGAAGAAATGGAAGATAATGATGATGACGATGATGGAGGAAATTTAGATGATGATGAATTAGATTCATTTGACGATGATAATGATGGTAAGATCAAAGGCTGAAAAAGAAAAACTTTATATGGAGTAAAGTTTCAGTTAAATTGGCCATACCTAAGAAAGCTATATATATATATATATGTGATAAACATTTATTCCATATGTATTTGTGGAATTTGAGAAACAAACAGAAAATAATTTCTTACAAGCTGTTCTCTTGTACATTATCAAGAATATGAAATAATTTTTGTTTTTGTCAAGGGTGCATAAGCATATTTGTTACACTGTAAAACATGACTGTTCAATTTTTCACAAAAATATACAGAAAGAAGTACATCAATTTAAATTTATGTCATCCTCAATTTCATTTATTCATAAACATATTTTTCACTTTTGTATTAAATGAATGTTTACAATTGAGATTTTTCCATACGTCAAATTTCATTTCCGACTTTGTCAGGAGAAATGCAACAGTGTTTGAGAAAAAATATGTTTAATTGTTCCTAACATTTTTGTCTAGGTGACGATAACGATGAAGATAATGAAGATGATAATGATGATGATGGTGAAGACAATGATGATGATGATGATGCCAGTGACATTGAATTTTCAGTAGCTGGTACAAGTGAAGATGATGACAATGATTTGGATGAAGACTTGTTATTTCAGCTTTATTGATAACAGAGGGAAATTGGATGAAGACTTGTTATTTCAGCTTTATTGATAACAGAGGGAAATTGGATGAAGACTTGTTATTTCAGCTTTATTAATAACAGAGGGAAATTGGATTAATTGACTTGATATAAAATAATTTATTTTTAAAGCAAAGACTACTAGTATGTTAATCAATTTTCTTGCAATTTGTCAACTATTATTATACCATAACAGTTATTCTGGTCAATTAACTGTATCAGCAGACTTTTAAATTTGATCACCATCACCTACATGTTACATATGACAACAAGCGCTTAGGTAAAGGACATCCCTTTTAAAATTGATTATAAGTAAAATTTCTTCAGAATTTTAATGTCTCCTTGCTTCTCTCTTCATGATTTAACAATAACAGTATATATGAGTAATGTCTCTACTCTTATAATTCTGTTATTGCAAATGCATAGTCTCAAATATATATGATATAAAAACAGGAAATATGATCCCATATCCACATGCGAAGATCCTTGATCAATGTCACTATACAGAAAATTGTTCATGTGTATAATAAAAACTAGGGTACATACATGTATCTACTGATCAAAAGAGGAATGATCATTTGTCAATGATTTTAAATATCTCAGATAGAAAAAATTTCAATGCAAACATCTTGATCTATATTTCTTAAATAGTTCTTTCATAACAATCAAGTAGATTGACCACTTACAGGTAAATAGATAACCAGGTGAGAGGTTATTACTGTATGTAGTTCAAACACTACATTCAGGTGATTGGAAAAGAAGACATTCATACATATAAGTTAGTGGTGTGACGATATTGAAATGTAATTGGGTATCTATCAGAACCTGTATTTTTGGTACTGGAATTGTATATATCTATTTTTAAATGGTAATTCTGTATCTTTGTGAATAGTAAGAATCTTGGGAAATAGAGTATATATTTTACTGATAAAATTTAATGTATATTGTGAAAAATTTAAATTATTGTTTTTAAATTTTAACGTTTGTATTCTATGAAATACAACTTTGACCTTGTTATGTATTGGCTGTTTTTCATTTTTAATGTTTTCTTCTCTACATATCAAGTGCTGGATGTTTTTATATGGTGTACAATTTTTTCTGTTTTCTATCTTGTAAATTTCTGAATGTCACTCAGATAATGTCATAAGCAGGGCTCACACTACTTCAGAATCATAGGGAGAAGTGACTTCTCTTTTTGAAACTGATAGGGAGAAGTGGTGAGATTTGAAAGAGAAGTGCTCCTTTGCGCACTGCGCTACAATGTTTTGATTTTACTATAGTATAAAGGGTCATATGTAAATAATGTTCTTTTTATATTGTTCAATTCATATCTGAGTATACAATTAAATTAACAGTTCAAATTCAAAGTTATTTAAGTTTAGGTTCTTGTGAGAAACTACCAACTAAATATCTAGCACTAAAAAGATTTTTTTTTTATGTCAAAAAGGTAAAGAAATTATAATATATGAATTACAATTCAATTAAAAACTATCTTGTTTATCATGTTTATGAAATTCAGTGTTTCTCATCAAAAGATATACAAAGTTAAGCTGGACCATAATATATTGATATTAGTAGTTAAGCAACTTTAATCAATATTTTGAAACAATCCATATAAATTATATGGAATTATATACATTAATCAATTAGATCTAACCAAAAGTCTGTTAATTAGTGTGGAATGCGTAATTTTCATTTTGGGATCAATATTCTTCTGTCAGCTGTTCCATTCATGCGTCCGTACTTATAATTGTAAAAATACGGATTTCGGTCATAGCTGGTCCGGTTCCGATCAGTAGTTAGTAAACGGTTAATGGCAGACATAGAAAATTTACAAAAAAAACCGATGTTTTACAAGCTATTTGAAAAGGAATATGACGTTTTTAATGCAATAAATGGATTAAACATTTACTGGAGGCAACTTTTATCACTTTCCAATAAAGTAACAAACTTATTTTGCCGCCGAAAGTTAGATTGGTGTACGCTCTCTGAGTAACAAGTACCGGAAGAGCATGCAGTGATAAAAAGTTGTCTTTTAATTAAATAACCTGCTACACACTGTAAAGTCAATGCTTAAACCTCTTTTCTTAAGAAAATGAATCGTTTAGGTCTGAATTTCTTTAATAATCAATAAAAAATTGATGTTTTATCAACTTGGTAAAAATTGAAAATGTCCGATGAAGAAAGAAACTGAAAGCGAGTATCGTAAACAACAGGGCGACTTGTTTTCGCTTTTGAGAGTCGGGCAAAGCAAAGTAAAGACAGGAAAGCGACTTCTTCGCCCTAGTCGCCTGGTAGCGTGAGCCTTGGTCAAAAGAAGGGGAACATTGCTGTTTAATAGTAGAAAATTAGTTGAATTTCTCCACATAACAGGAAAAATCTGTCATCCTAAATATAAAATGAATATAAGTTAATAAATTGACATTAATTGACCTTAAAACACTGATTCATATCAAAACTTATGTTTAAATCATATGTGGAAGGTACTAACAGAAAAAGATTTTTGATTACTAGTATTGACCTCTTTATGTAGAATTTGTCTTATCTGCATAATCACACGATCTAGTTAGACTCAACCATAGATTTAAATGTTCAATGGTGCTATGTATAGTGTGGTGATGACTAGTGTTTTATGACTGCGAGAAATGGCAGGTCACTATCTGTTCATACACATGTCTGTTCATGTTCTCTTCTAATTAAACAAATCTTATAAAGAAATCATTTTAGGGAAATTAGAAAAACAGTCACATCTTAAAGCATTGTGAACCTCTATGTCATTTCATTGTATGAATGATTTTGGGGGTTTTCAAAAACTGAAACATGGATCAGCAATTTATCACTTTTACAGCTAATAAAGGTTATAGACATTTCTTATCAACACCTCTGTTTTAAAGAATGTTGATGTTTACCAGAAGATTTCAAAGACACTTTCATTTACTTTATCCTCATTGATTTTATATGTTGAATGTATTAATATGTGATCTCTGAACAGTACATGTACATCTAGTTTTGTACCTATTTAAACCTAACAGAGGTGTTTCCCTATACAATGTGTTTTCATGATATATCTTTTTGTAATAAGTGCATAGCATGTCATTACAAAATTAAAAGAATTTTCATGTTGAATTTTGTTTTAGCATTTATATAACAGGGAAAAAGATTGCAATGACATTTATGATATTGATGGCATACATTTGTTAGATTTTGTCTGTAACAGGGCAAATCAGGGGAATTAATTGCATTTTTTAAAAACATAAGACTTTTCTACCCATCTGGGATCAGATGTAGGTTATACATCAATGAGACAGCAACCTAACGACACAAATAACCAAAACACATCTAGAGGTCAACATACAGTCTTCAACAATAGACAGGTGTCTGCACAAGATGTCTTTAGTTCTCAATTGTCCAATGTTTAAAAGTTTTGTGAGTAATAAAACAGAACATATTTAAGATCTGTCATCAAGCCCAAGTTCTCTGGGTGACAAAAACATAAAGATATAATATTAGACAAATGTTGACAAGGTTACTAACTAGAAACAGTCACATTAATATCTGGCAGGCTTAAAATATTTGTTTTTAAGAGAGCAACCCTCCCCCTTTTTGATTCAGCCATGCCGAATTTATGTGATCACTCTGGATTTTGAGATGGTGTAGAATTCTTAGTTGAAGACATATTATGAAACTAATTATGTGTTTTTATACGACCGCAAAAATTAAAAATTTTTTGGTCGTATATTGGTATGACGTTGGCGTCGTCGTCGTCGTCGTCGTCGTTGTCGTCGTCGTCGTCGTCGTCGTCCGGCGTCGTCCGAAGACACATTGGTTTTCGCACTCTAACTTTAGTTTAAGTGAATGGATCTCCATGAAATTTCACCATAAGGTTCAATACCACAAAAGGAAGGTTGGGATTGATTTTGGGGGTTATGGTACCAACAGTTAAGGAATTAGGGGCCAAAAATAAGCATTTTTGTAACTTTCAGACAATAACTTGTGTGTAAGTGTATGGATCTCTCTGACATTGTACCACAAGGTTCCATATCACAAAGGGAAGGCTGTAATTGATTTTGGGGGTAATTGCCTCAAAATTTTAGGAATTAGGGGCCAAAAAAGGGGCAAAAAACAAGCATTTTTCTAGTTTCATGACAATAACTTGTGTGTAAGTGTTTGGATATTTCTGAAATTGTACTACAAGGTTCCATATCACAAAGGGAAAGCTGGAATTGAGTTTGGGGGTAATTGCCGGAAACGTTTAGGAATTGGGGGCCAAAAAGGGGCCAAAAATAAGCATTTTTCTAGTTTCCAGACAATAACTTGTGTTCAAGTGTATGGATCTCTCTGAAATTGTACTGCAAGGTACCATACCACAAAGGGAAGGCTGGGATTGAGTTTGGGGGTGATGAATCATAAGGGGGTTCAAAAAATTGGGGGGGGGGGGGGGATTTTTTTTTTTTTTTTTTTTCTTTTTTTCCTTTTTTTTTTCTTTTAAAATTTTCCATTTTAAGTTGGTTATTTCTGATTTATATTTAAAAGCAAATAATAATGATATGGTAGGAGATACACACCAAACAGGATGTGTAAATTATTATATAATAAGTATTGTGCAATAGCAAGAAATTTTCAATTGCACAGTATTGCACAATAGCAAGAAATCTTCAATTGCACAGTATTGCGCAATAGCAAGAAATCTTCAATTTAACAGTATTGCGCAATAGCAAGAAATATCCAATAGCACAATATTGCGCAATAGCAAGAAATTGTCAATTGTACAGTATTGCGCAATAGCAAGAAATATTCAATTGCACAGTATTGTGCAAAAGAAGATACTTCGTATAAATTGCTTATTTCTTGATCAATTTCAATGGGGTTTTATTCTTGAATTCTTGGGGTTCTTTAATATGCTGAATCTAACCGTGTATTAAGTTTTTGGATTTTGGTCCCCGTTTTTAAATTGGTCCACATTGAGGTCCAAAGGGTCCAAAATTAAACTTTGTTTGATTTCATCAAAAATTGAATTATTGGGGTTCTTTGATATGCCGAATCTAACCGTGTATTTAGATTTTTAATTTTGGGTCCCGTTTTTTAAATTTGTCTACATTAAGGTCCAAAGGGTCCAAAATTAAACTTAGTTTGATTTTAACAAAAATTGAATTCTTAGGGTTCTTTGATATGCTGAATCTAAACATGTGTTTAGATTTTTGATTATGGGCCCAGTTTTCAAGTTGGTCCAAGTTGGGGTCCAAAATTAAACTTTGTTTGATTTCAACAAAAATTGAATATATGGGGTTCTTTGATATGCTGAATCTAAACATGTATTAAGATTTTAGATTTTTGGCCCAGTTTTCAAGTTGGTCCAAATTGGGGTCCAAAATTAAACTTTGTTTGATTTCAACAAAAATTGAATATATGGGGTTCTTTAATATGCTGAATCTTACCATGTATTTAGATTTTTTATTTGTGGGCCCGCTATCAAATTGGTTCATATTGAGGTCAAAAGGGTCCAAAATTAAACTTTGTTTGATTTCATCAAAAATTGAATTATTGGGGTTCTTTGATATGCCAAATCTAACCGTGTATTTAGATTTTTAATTTTGGGTCCTGTTTTTTAAATTGGTCTACATTAAGGTCCAAAGGGTCCAAAATTAAACTTAGTTTGATTTTAACAAAAATTGAATTTTTGGGGTTCTTTGATATGCTGAATCTAAACATGTGTTTAGATTTTTGATTATGGGACCAGTTTTCAAGTTGGTCCAAGTTGGGGTCCAAAATTAAACTTTGTTTGATTTCAACAAAAATTGAATATATGGGGTTCTTTGATATGCTGAATCTAAACATGTATTTAGATTTTAGATTTTTGGCCCAGTTTTCAAGATGGTCCAAATTGGGGTCCAAAATTAAACTTTGTTTGATTTCAACAAAAATTGAATATATGGGGTTCTTTGATATGCTGAATCTTACCATGTATTTAGATTTTTTATTTGTGGGCCCGCTATCAAATTGGTTCATATTGAGGTCAAAAGGGTCCAAAATTAAACTTTGTTTGATTTCATCAAAAATTGAATTATTGGGGTTCTTTGATATGCCAAATATAACTGTGTTTTTAGATTTTTAATTTAGGGTCCCGTTTTTTAAATTTGTCTACATTAAGGTCCAAAGGGTCCAAAATTAAACTTAGTTTGATTTTAACAAAAATTGAATTCTTCGGGTACTTTGATATGCTGAATCTAAACATGTGTTTAGATTTTTGATTATGGGACCAGTTTTCAAGTTTGTCCAAGTTGGGGTCCAAAATTAAACTTTGTTTGATTTCAACAAAAATTGAATATATGGGGTTCTTTGATATGCTGAATCTAACCATGTATTTTGATTTTGGACATTGGACCATAATAGGTAAATTAAAAAAATTGAAGTTCTTAGACCACATTCTTTCTGTGTCAGAAACCTATGCTGTGTCAAATATTTAATCACAATCCAAATTCAGAGCTGTATCAAGCTTGAATGTTGTGTCCATACTTGCCCCAACTGTTCAGGGTTCGACCTCTGCGGTCGTATCAAGCTGCGCCCAGCGAAGCATTTTATTATGATTTGCAGAAACTTTATACACCATTTAAATCATCTGCCATCTTTTGACATGTTATTTGCTCTTTAATTAGTAAAACGTTAGTCGAACAGCTACTTTATTTAATATATATACTTGAATATAGTTCCTTTGTAAATCAAATTTTATATCAAATTACTATTTATAAATGTGAAAAAGTAATGTATCAAATTAAAGCAATTCATAAAAATTATGAAAGTATTTTATCAGTATATTATGCTTGTGTAAGTTACTGAATATTTGGTACAAGATGTGTATTGATATCAAAGTTGACTCCCACACTTTTTTTGAAATGCTATTATTCCAATTCTTTCCTTAGGCAAGTAAGAGCAATGATACAATACAGTATGATAGATAACTGTCAGTATTTACAAACAATAAATTTAGTTAGTCTTGTTAGTCTTGTATTATTTTTAATTTTAGTTTCTTGTGTACAATTTGGAGTTTAGTATGACGTTCATTATCACTGAACTAGTATATATATTTGTTTAGGGGCCAGCTGAAGGACGCCTCCGGGTGCGGGAATTTCTCGCTGCATTGAAGACCTGTTGGTGGCCTTCTGCTGTTGTCTGTTCTGTGGTCGGGTTGTTGTCTCTTTGACACATTCCCCATTTCCATTCTCAATTTTAATAGTTTATTTGGAATCACCTCCACTTTGATGCCAATCTTAATTGACCACAGTTAATATCTCTTGTGTTACATAATTAAATACACACTGTATTACACAGCTAACCTAATACACTTGACCTCAATAGTATAGCTATAATTACTTCTGATCTACACTACATAAAATTATTCTGTAAATTATGTGTAAAAGATGAATGATTAAGGATTGAAAAGATGCATTTTTTTTTGCAAAGAAAAGACAAGAAACAAAATATGTATAAAAAATGCAAGAAGGGTCTATTTTACTTCTTTTTCCAATCCTGTCAAAATTATTTAATTGAAAAAAAAGAAGATTTAAAAAAATCAGTGCGTCTTCTGAACCATTTACAAGTAAATTTAGGGTGACAAGCTTGTTATATCAACTGAAAAACAAAGCAATTATCTTTCTATATTTAATGCAAGAGTGATATATCAGTTTGTTTTTATTCACCACGATACCAGAGAATTTGATTTGAAATTATGCACTCAACTCTTCCATAGGTACTTGGGTACAGGACTTTTTTTTTGCCCTCCCCTTTTGTTCCTAAATCCGTTATTTTTTTGTTTTCTAGCTTTCTATATAATATATCAGTCACCGCTGTGGATAGATAACTTGGAATTAATAGTAAATAGCAAATACAAGTTATTTCTAGTATATTTATGTTCATATAATACAGAAAAACGCTAAAGTAATTGTAATTAATATAAAACAAAAAAATAACGGATTTTGGAAAAAATGGGGTGGGCCAAAAAAAATTGTCCTGTCCCAGTCTTTCCATCAACAATTTCTATCACTTTGATTGTCAGAAGTGCCTTAGAAGAAGTACACTTTTTTTGAGAATTACATGACCTGAAAGGGGTGATTTTAAAAATATCACTGGTA